AGTCTTTATCCGTTAAGAGATGCACATTGAATTATGGGTGAAATAATATGATGTACAGAATTTCTTTCAAAATAACATGGGAAGGGCAGCCAGGTATGGTAGATCATGACTGTAATCCCAGAACTTTGGGAGGTTGACATGGGAGGATCGCTGGTGTCAAGGAGTTTGAGACCAGCCTGGGCAACATAGGGAGACTGTCTCTACTTTAAAATACACACACACAATTAAAAAATAATACTAATATGAGAATAGAGAAGTAGATAATGAAAGCACAGACAAAAGAAGACAGGGCTTGAGTTAAATCACTGTGGAAGCTGTGTGATGAGGACAAGGGGTTTCAACAGATTATTGTTTTTGCATATAGTTGAAATCCTTCATAATAAAAATTAAAAAAAAGTGCTACACCACAAATCCTAATGTTGACACTAAATTCTAAGGCAAACGTAAGATGAAATATTGAAAAGAAAGTTAGCCTGGGAATGTTATTGTCTAGCATATTAATTTTTTTAAGTCCATATGACTCTTTATTTTTTTTTGAGACAGAGTTTTGCTCTGTCGCTCAGGCTGGAGTGCAGTGGCGCAATCTCGGCTCACTGCAATCTCCGCCTCCCGGGTTGAAGGGATTCTCTCACCTCAGCCTCCCGAGTAGCTGGGATTACCAGCTTGTGTCGCCGCGCCCAGCTAATTTTTGTACTTTTAGTAGAGATGGGGTTTTGCCATGTTTGCCAGGCTGTTCCTGACCTCAGGTAATCCACCACCTCGGTCTCCCAAAGTGCTGGGATTACAGGCATGAGCCACCACGCCCAGCCCCATATGACATTTTTAAAACACACTAGATATATACATGATTAATTCCAAGAAGTGGAAGAAATTAAAGATGGACAGGAAAGGATAGATGGATAGATGGATGTTCACCACTATGCAGTTCGTGATACAAAAAAGTTGGAAGAAACCCAAGACAGAGTAAATACATTGTGGCACAATAAAATACTATTCCTGTTTAAAAAGAGATTGTGGGCCAGGCATGGTGGCTCACAACTGTAATCCCAGCACTTTGGGAGGTTGAGGCGGGCAGATTAGGAGTGTGAGACCAGCCTGACCAACATGGTGAAACCCTGACTCTACTAAAAATACAAAAAATAGCTGGGCGTGGTGGCATGCGCCTGTAATCCCAGCTACTCAGGAGGCTAAGGCAGGAGAATCACTTGAACCCAGGAGGCGGAGGTTGCAGTGAGCGGAGATTGTGCCACTGCACTACAGCCTGGAAGAGTGAGACTCTGTCTCAAAAAAAAAAAAATTAATTGGTTGTGGAAAATTACCTAGTGATACAAAAAGTATAATAAAGGTGGTGAGTGGGACAGGTTAAAATAGATGATTTAGTGGAATCTCATTTTTGTTACTTAAAAAAAGCATGTATCATATATATAAAAGCATGGGTAAGGATGTAGAAAGATACTTAGTAAGGTGTTAATAGTTATCTTTTAATGAATGGGGTTATTGGCTTTTGTCTACCTTCTTTAAGTATACAGTTTAAGAATTTAATGATAAAAAGTCACACATGTTGTTTCCCCCCGGAAGTGTTGGTTTTACTAAAAACACACCCTCTAAGAATCCCATAGATGAAAGTTGGAACTTCAATCAAGAACATGTCAGAGACAAGCTGCTTGAGCAAGAAAATATCTGAAAAGCAAGCTCTCCTAGAAGAGAAGCAAGGCCTCCTTAGCAGTTTATGAGCACACACCTGTTAGGAGCACATACTGCCAGTGCCTTTCACTCTAGGTCTCTCTGTAAGCTGTAAAAGCAAACAGTTTAATGGCAAATACATACTCTATCCAGATGAAGGTGCCACAGATTTATAAACGTGTAAAAACACTAGACTTTGTTTTGGGGTTAAGGTGAGAAAAGGGCTTGCTAAACAGTCTCTTTCCCAGAAGCAAGTTTTCTTACTCACTCACTCCCTGGGACAGAAGGTCAAACAGCATCTCTGGTTGGAATCATAATGTTTCGGCCTGAAGTGACCAGGCCACTCACTACTTTAGTTACCCAAGCAGTATCAAAGGAGCTCACCTCATAGTCTTTCCTTGGAAGAATCTCATCCTCCTCCTCCTGTGTTTCTCCAAGGATGGTCTAGAAAAACAGATCCGCAGAGGGAGCCCTTTTTAGTGGTTAAGAGTGGAAGGAGGTAGAAGTATTTACTGAAATCAGTGGCTAGCTTCCACATCACCTGGAGCCATTATCAAATAGGAATCAGCCCTTAAAAAAAACCTTTCGGAGGTGAGGGACCATGTGGGTGAGATCTACAGCCATCGGCTGAGCTCTTCATTTCCACTCATAGAGTCTCCAAATAACCACCCTCCTCCTCAGGACACCTCAAAGATGTCCAATGCCAGCTGAAGAGGGGAGTAAAAATTCAGGTTCCATTTGACAATGTGACGTATCTGAAATCAGAAAGGACTTGTCAACTCTGGGAACACAACTCGGGTTTTCCCAGGACGCTTTGCAAGGGGAAGCTGGACTGTCAGTGACCCAGAAAGGGTGAGGGATAGAGTAAGAAAGAACTGGGGAAGCTAAAACAGCCGCATGATAAGCACAAAGTCCTGTGAGGAAGCTCATTCTGAAAACGCTTGTTTCATTCCAAACTCTTTTCAGATGGAAATAAAAGGAAACATGGGTGGGATTTACTGGAGCTGGCCTGGATTCTCCCTCAGATTCCAGGAGCGGTTATGAGAAAAGACCCCAGACTTAGGCACATGAAGCAGGGTAGACGCTTCGAGAGCCGGGACTGCGGTCCGCAGACCCCACCGGCTGCCACCTGCAGGCCCAGATTGGCCCGGCCCCACCCCCGGCAACGCCTCTCGCAGTCCCTTAGCAACCGCCCCCTCCCCAGCCCGGCTCCGCCCGCTCCTTACCAGCTCCTCGGGGGTGCGGGTCTCACGCTCACCGCAGCAGCAGCACCACCTGCAACAGCAGCACAGAGACCCCCTGCACCCCGCCATCTTCCTCCTTTACTGCCACTCTGGACCCCTCTACCACCCCCTCCCACCCAGGATCTGCGCCTCACGTGACTGGTCCCGGGACGGTCACGTGGCCCTCTCGAGCTCTGGGACTGAGAACGGGAGTGGCTGCAGACGGGTGGGGCGACGGCTCGCGTCACATGACGGTAAAGACACGGCCTCCAAAGAGACCCGTGGGCGCGGCCATGTTGGAGGCGGGGCTTCCGGTCACCCGCACCAGTGGTTTCCGCCCTGTCGGGCCCGCCTCTCCAGCAACCTGACACTTGCGCCTCGCCCCTCATTGCGTTCCCCGCCCCTACAGAGGCCACGCTGGTGCGGCCGGCGGGCGAGCGTTCTGAGTCACCCGGGACTGAAGGGTGAGTGTCGGCGAGGCCGGGGTCGCCGGGAGGGAGATCCCGGAGCCGGCGAACAACATCCCGGGGGCAAGGACGTGCTCGTGGGCGGGGGGCGCTGGAGGCCGGCCTGCCTGCCTCTTTTCTTGGGAAGGGCTGCCGCCCCCCTCCGCGCACCCTTCGCGGAATTAGTGTAACTCCCAATGGCTACCACCTCCAGCGACCGTCAACCCTCAGGCGAAGACCCACTTTCGCCCCCTGCCTGGACGGAGGGGCCCCTGGAATGAGGGGCCCCTGAGCCAGAGGTGACGATCCCGCCCCCCTGACCGGCCCAGGCCCGTGTCCTCGCCCCCATCGGTGACCCAGTGACCTGGTGACTCGATTCTCGGCCATCTGGGCGCCGAGACGGCTTCCGGCTCCTGCCTTTTAAACCTGCCTCCACGGCGAGCACCTGGAGAAGAGCGCTGGGCCCGGGGCACTGCGGTCCCTGGTGCCCGCTGCGTCCCGCTGCGCACGGGGGTCCACCGGGACCTTTCTGGGAGTCGTGGGCTTAGTGTCCCAGTGCTTGGCGCAGACTAGGTGCTCAGTAAATGACAGAGGCTTATTTTAAGAGACTGGCAGCGCCTGGCCCTTTGGCGCTCAGTGAATGCTGGCTATCACCGTGTGCCAAACTCTGGGGATACTCCAGGCAGGACACCGGTCCTGGTCTCAGGGAACTGGGAAAAGAGAAAGGAGACAGGCCTTTAACCCAGTTACAACCCAGGGTGCTATGGGAATCCAGCTGGTAACGGATAAATCGTGGGTGTTGGCTTACAAATATGGCACGTGCCTGGCATATACTAGGAATGCAATAAGTCTTTGAAAATCAGAGGGTTTGCAGGTGGTTCAGCCTCCTCCCACTCTAGGTTCTGTTCCAGCAGGCAATTAACAAGGTGCTCCCTTAAATGCTGGAGAAAGGCCAACTGGCTGCTCTTGCTGTTACCCCTCTCCCCACCCCACCCCCACCCCCCTTCCTCACTCCCCACCGCCATCCCCACTGAGAATCTGGAGTTTGAGGTCTGAATGAAAGAGAGTAGCCCTAGGGGGAGAAAGCTTTGGCTTTCTTTCAGGGTTCTTAGTCTGGAATCAACTCCTTGTCTTTGGATGCATCCACGCGTAGTCTGTGCTCCTGTGCGTGTATTTCAGGGGTGAGAAGCAATGCATTTAATCAGATTGTCAAAAGAGTCTAAGACCCCAAATGGTTAGGTACACGGGGTTAGTGGTGGACAGTCTGAAAGAAATGAACCTGACCTGGTCTTTCCTCTGTTGTGCCATGTTACCACACACTGATTCACTACTGTGTGTTTGCCCATTGCTGTGCAAGTGTTTTGTTTTTTTAGTGTTTGTCTTATTTTCTTCACCAGACTGCCAGATGGCACTATGCCCTCTGTTGGCCTGACTGTGCCCTGGTGGCTCTGATTACTTGTTTCTGTTTTTTTTCGCTCTTGTGCCCCAGGCTGGAGTGCAGTGGTGCAATCTCCGTTCACCGCAATCTCTGCCTTCCAGATTCAAGCGATTCTCCTGCCTCATCCTCCCGAGTAGCTGGGATTACAGGCGCCCACCACCAAGCCAGGCTAATTTTTATATTTTTAGTAGAGTCGGGGTTTCACCATGTTGGTCAGACTGGTCTCAAACTCCTGGCCTTAGGTGATCCACCCGCCTCGGCCTCCCAAAGTGCTGGGATTACAGGTGTGTTTTTTGTTTTTTTAAGAGATGGAGTCTCACTATGTTGCCCAGGCTGGCCTTGAACTCCTGGACTCAGGTGATCCTTCTGCCTCAGCCTTCCCAGTAGCTGGGTCCCTGTGATGATTTTAATTGAATTCTGTGGTGTGTAAGAAGACCAGCCTGCAAGGCAAGCACAGATGGGGCAGCTTTTGTTCTGAGAAATTCGTGCCCTTACTGAACTTGGGTCCGGCTATTTTTGGAATATGGCCAGCGTCCAGTTCTAACCCACGACACGGTCTTTTTGGAGTAGCATGAACTCAGGACAAAGCTGGCTGCATAGTCAAACCCTCACCCCTTCCATCCTGCACACACACAGTTTCAAGTAACAGATGTTCCAGGCAGAGCCAGCCAGAGTGAGCTGTTCCTCATCTCCACCAACCCCTGCAATCTCTGCCCGAGTCCCCCTCCTTCCATCCGCCTCCCCTTACTAGAGTCTCAGCCCTTCCTCCTCGCCTGGAAGTCTTGCCCCCGCCCCCTTGTGCTGGCTCGAGCTCAGGCCTCTTCCTTTGTCGCAGCTCCGCCCAGTTGAACACACCCACCCGCTGGGGAAGGTGCCTCTGTTCCCTCCCCACGCACTCTGGGCCTAGCTGACAGAGATGGACCATCGAAAAGCCAGGGTCCTCCCAGCTGGGCACTACTGCCCCTCACTAGGAATATGGGCCTCGAAGGCTGGCAGTGTGAGGTTCTCTGTGCCACCTTCCATCAGGTAGCTGTCACCGAGGAGCACGTTGTAGTGCCGGGTGGGGGCTGCCTTGCATGCAAGGAACCTGGCAGCAGCGGAGGGCTAGGCTTTGAGTGAGGCGGCCCCGACAGCCATAGCTGAGTAGCATGGAGCCACTGGGAGGGGGCAGTGTCACCTTTTTTGGCCTTCTTCCTGTGTGGAAATACAGCACCTCCGGCTTGAACCTGCCACTCAGCTGTCTCGATGTGCCGGGGGTGTGGCTGCCTGCCCCCTGATGCTCCCTGCCCCACCCTGTGCAGCAGGAACCTGGCCATGGTGAACGAAGCCAGAGGAAATGACAGCCTCAACCCCTGTTTGGAGGGCAGTGCCAGCAGTAGCAGCGAGAGCTCCAAAGACAGTTCGAGATGTTCCACCCCGGGCCTGGACCCCGAGCGGCATGAGAGACTCCGGGACAAGATGAGGCGGCGAATGGAATCTGGTGACAAGTGGTTCTCCTTGGAATTCTTCCCTCCTCGAACTGCTGAGGGAGCTGTCAATCTCATCTCAAGGTAAATTGATGCAAAGTTAAGGTGGGGGCGGGGAGTGCTGGTTCCTGGGGGAGCCAACTGTCAGCCCTGAGGCTGGGCTGCCCTTTAACCCGGCAGAAAAAAAGCAGCCAGAGCAGGCAGGAAGGAGAAGGCAGAGTGGGTCATCTGATCTGCAGCTTCTCTTGCCTGTAAAAGTCCCTCCACAGTGTCAAGGGTATTTTAGACACACTCTTCAATGGGTTAAAAATGTTGATTCTCACAGTATATTCTTTGGTGGAACTTGGGGGCTGGATCACGAGTGCAGTTTAGGAAGTCACAAAGCAGTGAGAATGTTTTCAGCAAGTTAGAAATTTGGATTATGCTTCCTGAAATCTAGAAATGCCAACTGAATTACATTAGCACTTCATGAATTGCAGTTGTTTTTTTTTTTTTAAAGTTTATGGCTTTTACTGTTTGCACTTCTCACGTGTCACTCCCAAATTTTTGAAGTTTAAACGCACAAGGATGTTTAAATACACCGCTGATAGCTTGTAACACAAGTACTCGTGCACATCCAGGCTTTTGAGTCTCGTTTCGGAACTTGGCCTTGGTCTTCACAACTGTAAGCTGCTGCACAGGGCTTGGGGGGTGGCATGAAAGAAACGTGAGTCTGCCGACCCGCTTTCTAACTGTTCCTACAGCGAGGCTGTGCTTGCCACAGTTAGGATTCCCCTGACTCTCAACCACGATGTCTTAACTCACCCGAGATAATAAATGGGCAAACGCTGTGAAAAGTCTGAAGTGCTGCTCTCACAAAATGGTGGCGCTGTTATTGTGTCTTACCTCTGTAATAGTGATCACGATGGCACCTCATATATACTGAGTATTCGGTTTGTACACCAGGCACGGTTCTAAGTGCTGTGGAACCAGCTGCCGTCATATTCTCCTAGTGTTGTTATGGTTTTTTGTTGTTGTTGCTTTATTTTATTTTATTTTTTTGAGACGGAGTCTTACTCTGTAGCCCAGGCCCGAGTGCAGTGGTGTGGTCTCAGCTCACTGCAAGCTCCGCCTCCTGGCTCAAGCAGTTCTCCTGCCTCTGCCTCCTAAGTAGCTGGGATTACAGACACCCACCACCACACCCAGCTAATTTTTGTATTTTTAGTAGAGATGGGGTTTTACCATGTTGGCCAGGCTGGTCTTGAACTCCTGACCTCAAATGATCCGCCTGCCTCAGCCTCCCAAAGTGCTGGGATTACAGGCGTGAGCCACTGCGCCCAGCCTCCTAGTGTTATTATGAAGTGGTTATCATTATCTGCCGCGTCTTATAAATAAGGAAACAGAACTCACAGAGGTTAAGTAATGTACCCAAGATCATACAGCTATAAGTAGCAAAGCCAGGATATGAACACTGATTGGTCTGTCTCCAGCCTTCATTTATGCTTCTCTAACCCCCGGGCCCCCTGGGAAGGCAGTGAGGGATGGTATTTCCCCTGGAACCTCTCTTCAGAAACAAACCCCCTACAGGTTTGACCGGATGGCGGCAGGCGGCCCCCTCTTCATAGATGTGACCTGGCACCCAGCAGGTGACCCTGGCTCAGACAAGGAGACCTCCTCCATGATGATCGCCAGCACCGCCGTGAACTATTGTGGCCTGGAGACCATCCTGCACATGACCTGCTGCTGTCAGCGCCTGGAGGAGATCACGGGCCATCTGCACAAAGCCAAGCAGCTGGGCCTGAAGAACATCATGGCGCTGCGGGGAGGTGTGGAGCCAGCACCCCTACACGCTGGGTTCTGGCTTTCCCAGAGGCCACTTGTAGCCTGAACTTGGTTCCTGAAACGGTCCTTTACTGCTCCCTGGGCCCCACGCTGAGGATCCGCAGGATCCCATCCCCGCCAGTAGTGTCAGCAGGCGTTGTGGGCAGTGAGTCACCCTGGGCACCCCACACAGGCAGCCACCTCTTCCAACTCTTGACCTCAACGTAGGAGTTCCGTCGGGAATGCAGTCGCAGCCTGATAACCCTCTGCCCTGCCTATACCACTGCATCGATTGCTGGCTGCACCCAGCACTTGGCCCAATCACAGAGTATCCGGGAGGGAGAATAGCCGGTTAGGCCTCTGGTGCCTGCTGTCGTCAGGCCACCCAAGAGTGGGAAGAGGGAGCCTGAGGGGTGGGGTCCTGTGGCTTCCTGCTCCCCACCACAAGACCCCTTCACTTGAGTTAAAAATTCTCCCAGGAGGCAGGAGCCCTAAGGCCGTGGGACGGGAGAGGGTGGCAGGCATGCCCAGGTAGAAGTAGGGAAGGGCTCTCCAGTCCTCCAGGCACAGCGAGGAGTGGCAGTGGTCTCCTATTCTCCACCGTCAGCACAGGGTCAGCACACAGTGAATACTGAACGGGTGGGCTGCTTTCTTCTCTCTCACTGTCTTACCAAGGGCTAGAAAGAGAAGAACCAAACCTAAATAATACGAAGTTTCTGCCTTTCAGGGACTCGCAGTCCTAGGTGTCAGGGCTAGGTAGAGGGAACAGAAAGGCTCTCTGGAGGTTGGGTGAGACCCAGTGACCATGACCTCCACCAACCCTGCAGACCCCATAGGTGACCAGTGGGAAGAGGAGGAGGGAGGCTTCAACTACGCAGTGGACCTGGTGAAGCACATCCGAAGTGAGTTTGGTGACTACTTTGACCTCTGTGTGGCAGGTGAGTGACTGGATCATCCTGGTGGCAGGGATGGAGCTAGGGAGGCTCAGATAGCCTGTCGGTGTTCGGTGCAGGACACAGTGATCAGATGCACCTATGGGTCTGTGCTGGATGAGGGACATGCAGAGGTGAACAAGGAGCATGTCCTTGCTCCTTTTGTATCACCTACTCCCCTCCTGGGCTGCCACCATCGACCCTTAGCTTTTTGTTCCTCTGCCTGGCTGTGCCCTTAGCCTGCTTCTAGGCCCTGTTCTTTTCTTTAAAACAAAAGAGGCCGGGCACGGTGGCTCAAGCCTGTAATCCCAGAACTTTGGGAGGCCGAGGCGGGTGGATCACGAGGTCAGGAGATCGAGACTATCCTGGCTAACACGGTGAAACCCCGTCTCTACTAAAAATACAAAAAACTAGCCGGGCGTGGTGGCGGGCGCCTGTAGTCTCAGCTACTCGGGAGGCTGAGGCGGGAGAATGGCATGAACCCGGGAGGCGGAGCTTGCAGTGAGCCGAGATCACGCCACTGCACTCCAGCCTGGGGAGTCACACAGCGAGACTCCGTCTCAAAAAAAAAAATAAAATAAATAAATAAATAAAATAAATAAATAAAACAAAAGAGGGGGCCGGGCGCAGTGGCTCACACCTGTAATCCCAGCATTTTGGGAGGCCGAGGCAGGCAGATCACCTGAGGTCTGGAGTTCGAGACCAGCCTGGCCAACATGGCGAAACCCCATCTACTAAAAATACAAAAATTAGCTGGGTATGGTGGTGCACACCTGTAGTCCCAGCTACTCAGGAGGCTGAGCCAGGAGAATCCCCTGGACCCAGAAGGCGGAGGTTGCAATAAGCCGAGATTGTGCCACTGCACTCCAGCCTCAGTGACAGAGCGAGACTACATCTCAAAGAAAACAAAACAAAACACCCCACAAAAGAGGGAAATTTACTAACAGGATTCCAGAGGGCAGGGAACCCAAGGTCAGGCGATGGCCTCAGATCTCACGAGGCACTGGAAGAGGTCAAAATGCAAGGACCTCCCTCATTCCCTCTGGTGCCACGGGGTCCCCCGTCTCCACTTCCCACTGCACATCTGTGCTTCGTCTGGGAGACCTGATGCCCATGCTTTTCCACACACCTGGCCTGCTCCTGAGTGTCAGCTCCAGCCAGTTCCTCAGGCTAATGGATGGGCCTCCGTTCCAGATTCCCAGGAGAGAGAATCACCATTGGCCACAGCCACAAGACCAGGTTTACCCAACAGAAATGGGTGGGTTGGACTTCCCTCCCACCCTTGAAGCTAAAGGCTGGGATTGAGCCCTCGGCATCTCAGACAGGGCTCAGGTATGGCGAGGCAGTGTGCGCCAGGGACAGGAATTCCCGGGATTGGCACATTTTCTGGGATGATAGTTTTTTGCCAATATTTTGGGAGAAATCCTACCATTTTTATATTAAACATGGCTACGTTATGGAGTGGTATCTAAAGTGATATGAACTAAAAAAAAAAAAAGGCCAGGTGCAGTGACTCAAGCCTATAATCCTAGCACTCTGGGAGGCCAAGATGGGCAGATCATGAGGTCAGGAGTTCGAGACCATCCTGTCCAACATAGTGAAACCCCGTCTCTGCTAAAAATACAAAAATTAGCCAGGCATGGTGGCGTGTGCTTGTAGTCCCAGCTACTCAGTAGGCTGAGGCAGGAGAATCGCTTGAACCTGGGAGGCGGAGCTTGTAGTAAGCCGAGATCACGCCAATGCACTGTAGCCTGGGCAACAGAGCAAGACTCTGTCTCAAAACAAACAAACAAAAACCGTGTGGCTTCAAGAAAATTACTTGTCGTGGGTGACTTTGGCCTTGTCCCTAATCCCCCATGGATATGTCTATTCTGTCAACAGGGGTGTTTAGGTGTTAAGTCTGGGAAGCACTGATTAGGAGTCAGAGAACAGGCATTTCCAACTGTTAAATTGTCATCGCTTGTATCAGCCACAATATAGTCAGTTAATGGGGGAGTGTGCACCAGTGTTACGTGATCATGATTGGTTTGCTGAATGGTTTCTTACTTTGCTGATCAAGTGGGTAATGAAGATCAGTGAATTAGAAAACACCAGCCTGTTGGGCATGGTAGCTCATGCCTGTACTCCCAGAGCTTTGGGAGACTGAGGCAGGAGATCAAGACCAGCCTGGGCAACATAGTGAGAGTCCGTCTCTACAAAAAATACACAAAAAATTTAAACAGAAAGCACTCAGCTGTTCATGATAGAAAAATAGAGTAAATAGCAAAATCTATATGTAATCAAATGCTAGATGTGTTCGGTAATATTAGGTATTATAGCTATCGTTTCAGCTGTTAAAAGCCTTGTTGTTTCTGAAATTCCTACTGGGAAAACAGCTTTCTTATTGAAAGTGTGAAGCCCCAGTGCTTTATCCCCACTCCCTTACCCCTTGAAACCATAGTTTTTATATTCATTTTTGATGACTCTGGGTTTCTTAAGAACGGAACTGCCTTATCAGAGCAGAGCAGCTTGACTTTCCACCTGTCTCAGGGTCCTCCCCTGGGCTTGGGCTGACGAAACCAGCACTCCGTGTCGTTACATGAAGGCCTGTGGTCGTCCTACTTGCCTGACCAAGCAAGGCTGCTAGTAAGTTTAGTCATTTAGGGAAGGGGTCAGAGAGTTCACAGAGCCAGTAAGGAGCCTATGGGACACCTGGTCTCACCTTCCCAAGCAATTCCGGAATCCTGTCTTGGGCATCCACTGCCCCTGTGTTTTCAGGCTCCGGGAGCTCATTGTTTTGTGGGTGGCCTGTTGTACTCTAGGCAGCTCTCTGAACCGGATGCTGGTTTTGCCATTAGAAACAACATAGAATATGACTAATAAAGAACTTGACTAGAGAGCTGGGTACAGTGGCTCATGCCTGTAATCTCAGCACTTTGGGAGGCCAAGGTGGGAGGATTGCTTGAGCCCAGAAGTTCCAGACAAACCTGGGCAAGATAGCAAGACCCCATCTCTAAAAAATAAATAATTAATTAAATTTTTTTTTAATTAGCCAGATGTGGTGGTATGCATCTGTAGTCCCAGCTACTCAGGAGACTGAAGTGGGAGGATCACTTGTGCCCAGGAGGTCGAGGCTGCAGTGAGCCATGACTGCACGACTGCACTCTAGCCTGGGTGACAGAGCGAGACCCTGTCTCTGAAACAAAACAAAACAAAAAAACTCACCTACGGTGGATCCTTTTTCCCCAGGACAGACCTTTGGACATTTGAAAGGAGTTTCTGTATTCTCCTCACTCTTTTCTTTCTTCTTCTTCTTCTTTTTTTTTTTTTTGAGACAGAGTTTTGCTCTTGTTGCCCAGGCTAGAGTGCAATGGTATGATCTCAGCTCACTGCAACCTCTGCCTTGCGGATTCAAGCAATTTTCCTGTCTCAGCCTCCTGAGTAGCTGGATTATGGGCATGTACCACCACACGTGGCTAATTTTTGTGTTTTTAGTAGAGACAGGGTTTCACCGTGTTGGCCAGGCTGGTCTCGAACTCCTGACCTCAGGTCATCCTCCTGCCTTGGCCTCCCAAAGTGCTGGGATTACAGGCATGAGCCACCACACCCTGCCATCTGTTCTTTTCTTTGAACAAAACATCACTTTCTTCCGTTCTTTCTTGTGTAACTTGGTTTCTAGCTTTTCACTGTCTCGGACCCCTGAGTAATTTCAGTGTTACATTAAAAACAATGTTTAATCCAGTGCCTAAAGAAAAGTCAAGCTTTTCTTTTTAACAATGTTTAATCTAGTGCCTAAAGAAAAGTCAACCCCAGATGCTCTGCTAACTGTAGCATTTTCTCTTATCCATGGCCACCAAGTGCAGGCCAGATTTGCTTGGCTGCTCAAGGCAGGACAGTGTGGGAGTTTGGAGCAATCCACCCCGATTCTTGGAAGGGGGCTCTGAGCCACCTCCCCTGAGAGTCACCTCCAGGGTCGGAAGCATATCAGTCATGAGCCCAGCCATTTACTGTTTTAGTTCAGGCCATGCTGTGCTGTTGGAAGGTGCAAGATCGGAGCCTCCGAAGCAGAGGGCTCTCTGTGCCCAGTCCCTGTGGTCTCTTCATCCCTCACCTTGAACAGGTGGAGGCCAGCCTCTCCCGACTGTCATCCCTATTGGCAGGTTACCCCAAAGGCCACCCCGAAGCAGGGAGCTTTGAGGCTGACCTGAAGCACTTGAAGGAGAAGGTGTCCGCGGGAGCCGATTTCATCATCACACAGCTTTTCTTTGAGGCTGACACATTCTTCCGCTTTGTGAAGGCATGCACCGACATGGGTATCACTTGCCCCATCGTCCCCGGGATCTTTCCCATCCAGGTGAGGGGCCCAGCAGGGCCCATAAGCTCCCTCCACCCCACTCTCACCGCATCATCCTCGCATAGGCTGGGGGCTCTGCGTGGAGTGCTGAGTTCACTGAGTTCTTCCCAGATCCCCTCTCAGGTCCAGAACTTGCACAGCGTTGCTTGGCCACCCCATTTTGGTTACCTCTAATTTTCCCCCCAAAACCCAGCAACACTGTCTATTGAGGGGTTTGTTGCACTTTGGCCGACAGGCATCACCAAAAGGGATTCTCATTCTCTTTACAAATCCTGGTTAAGCCAGTGTTTCCCAAACGTGGCGGTCATCAGAACCACTTGATAAGCTTTTCCAAAAAATGGATCTCCAGGCCCCACCCCTGGAAGTTCTGACTCAGTAAATCTGAGGGAGGCCCTGGGAGTTTGTGTTTTGCCTCTTGAGCTTGGCAGGCGGTTCTGATGATCAGTGCAGCATGCGGACAACTGGGTGAGATGATACCATGTTATCAACAGACGCATCTAGTGCTAAAAGGCTGGCTCAACCCAAGGGTAGAATGCTTAGGGCAGCTGCTCTACTCTGTAAAAAGTGGAAAGGCTGGGCATAGTGGCACGTGCCTGTAGTCCCAGCCACTTGAGAAGCTGAGGCAGGAGGATGGCTTGAACCCTGGCATTTGAGAACAGCGAGACCCATCTCTAAAAACAGAAAAAAAAGGGCAGAAAACAGCAGGTCAAGCTCAGGTGTGCTCCTGGCATAAGACCAGATTTTCCTGGCTCCCTCTGCCTGACACTGCGGTTGGTGCGGAGGATGGAAGCGGGTGGGAGACGGGCTGGCCGACGGCTGCCACAGCCCCTCGTGTTTTGGACAGGGCTACCACTCCCTTCGGCAGCTTGTGAAGCTGTCCAAGCTAGAGGTGCCACAGGAGATCAAGGACGTGATTGAGCCAATCAAAGACAATGATGCTGCCATCCGCAACTATGGCATCGAGCTGGCTGTGAGCCTGTGCCACGAGCTTCTGGCCAGTGGCTTGGTGCCAGGCCTCCACTTCTACACCCTCAACCGCGAGATGGCTACCACAGAGGTGCTGAAGCGCCTGGGGATGTGGACTGAGGACCCCAGGTGAGGGCAGTGGCCCAGAGATCCCCAGAGGAGGGTCCAAGAGCAGTCCCGGCTGCAGCGCTGGCTCCTCATGGTGGTACAGACGTATGTCTGTGTCATGGCTAGCCGGGCACACCGAGGGCTCCAGTCTCAGAGGGCGTCAGATGGAAGAACCCAGCCTCAGTGGTGCTCCCCTGCTTCCGGCCCCCTCTAGCCAGTCCCTCGTCTCAGTTCTCTGTCCCCATCCTCACCCAGGCGTCCCCTGCCCTGGGCTCTCAGCGCCCACCCCAAGCGCCGAGAAGAAGATGTACGTCCCATCTTCTGGGCCTCCAGACCAAAGAGTTACATCTACCGTACCCAGGAGTGGGACGAGTTCCCCAACGGCCGCTGGTGAGGGCTGCAGACCTTCCTTGCAAACACATCTTTGTTCTTGGGAGGAGGAGGCAGAAGTTGTTTGCATGCTTGTGGTTGACCTGGGAGGAGTCAGGACAGGATTTACAGGAATGGCCTCCTGGGCCTGTGGTGGCACTGCCCTCTGTCAGGAGTGTGCCCTGACCTCTGGGCACCCCTCTGCCAGGGGCAATTCCTCTTCCCCTGCCTTTGGGGAGCTGAAGGACTACTACCTCTTCTACCTGAAGAGCAAGTCCCCCAGGGAGTTGCTGCTGAAGATGTGGGGGGAGGAGCTGACCAGTGAAGAAAGTGTCTTTGAAGTCTTTGTTCTCTACCTCTCGGGAGAGCCAAACCGGAATGGTCACAAAGTGAGTCACGCTGGGCTGGGGTCCCTGGTTCATCCCCTGCCCATGGCCTGACCCCAGCTGCAGGCCAGGCTGCGGGGCTGTGACTTCCCCACCCTGTGCCCTCCTCTCCATGCTGTGGACATGGCACCTTGGCAAAGGGAGAAGGGTGAGTTGGGAAGCCTCCACCTGGAAGGGCTTAGGGAGGCAAAGACAGGCTGGGTCTTTGTTGTGGGCCGTGAGAGGGACTTGGGGTGCCAAACCTGATGGTCGCCCCAGGCAGCTCACCGTCTCTCCCAGGTGACTTGCTTGCCCTGGAACGATGAGCCCCTGGCAGCCGAGACCAGCCTGCTGAAGGAGGAGCTGCTGCGGGTGAACCGCCAGGGCATCCTCACCATCAACTCACAGCCCAACATCAACGGGAAGCCGTCCTCCGACCCCATCGTGGGCTGGGGCCCCAGCGGGGGCTATGTCTTCCAGAAGGTGTGGTAGGGAGGCACAGGGTGCCCCCCTCTCTTGACAGGCACCCACGGGTTCCCCAGAGCTTAGGGCAGAGCAACCTGCCTCTCCTGGGCTCTTAATTTTGAGTGAGCATGGATCAGAGCGGATGGGAGCTCATGCTTTAAATCAGACAGACCTGGCTGGGCACGGAGCCCGGCCAGCACTTTGGGAGGCTGAGGCGGGTGGATCACTTGAGCCCAGGAGTTCGAGACCAGCCTGGGCAACATGGTGAAACCCCTTCTCTACAAAAAATACAAAAATGACCCAGGCATGGTGGTGCACACCTGTAGTCCCAGGTACTTGGGGGGCTGAGGTGAGAGGATCGCTTGAGCCCAAGAGGTTGAGGCTCCAGTAAGCCATATTTGTGCCACTGAACTCCAGCCTGGCCCACAAAGTGAGACCCTGTCTCAAAAAAAAAAAAAAGATCAGCTGGGCTTGGTGGCTCATGCCTGTGATCCCAGCACTTTGGGAGGCCGAGGTGGGCAGATCACAAGGTCAGGAGTTTGAGACCAGCCTGACCAACATGGTGAACCCCCGTCTCTACTAAAAATACAAAAATTTGATGGGTGTGGTGGCGGGTGCCTGTAGTTGCAGCTACTCGGGAGGCTGAGGCAGGAGAATCGCTTGAACCCGGGAGGCAGAGGTTGCAGTGAGCTGAGATCATGCCACTGCACTCCAGCCTGGGCAACCAAGCGAGACTCCATCTCAAAAAAAAAAAGTAGAAATCAGACCTATGGAGGCAGGTCAGTTGACCTCTCTGAGCCTGGTTTTCTCATCTGTAAAATGGGATGTAGCTTGTGTTCTGGGCATGAAACCTAACAAAGCATGTAATGTGCTTGGCACATAGGAAGAGCAGGAAGTACTCCCTGAAAGGCAACTGCTGTTACTATCCTGAGTTGACATCTTTCTCCCAGGGCTGCTGGAGTTAACATTATGTTCTGAACCAGGCCCATGGGCCCTGGAGCAGAAAGACCTGAGTTTAAGGACCAGTTCTGTTTACTTTCAGAGTAGCCAACATGTTCAACTTCGCTAAACCCACTTTCCTCATGGGGGGATCACTGTGCCCAGCCTCCAGTATTATGAGCATTCTAGCAAATGAGTTTGAGTAAACCCAGCTTAATCCCTGATAGGCACTGGTCCTAGAGGAGATGTCATGTCATTGTCACCTTGCAGTGACTAGGGAGGATGGAATGTGTGGGGCCTCTCTCTCCTGGCTCAGCTTGTCAAACCAGTTGCCACTGTTCAGAAATGACTTCTTCATGGAGTCTTCCCTGACTGATTGGGAGAGGGGTGGCCAATAGCCCTCAAACCTGTCCAGACTGAGAAACTCACTTCCCCACTCCCCTCACCCTTTGCTTATGGATGTGCCAACGCCACAGTTCATTATTCTGCCCACATGGCCGCCACTAGTTCTGATACCTTAGGTGTCGGTGAAGGGGCGTCTGGCAGGGCTGGGGTTGGTGACAGGCACCTGTCTCTCCCACAGGCCTACTTAGAGTTCTTCACTTCCCGTGAGACAGCGGAAGCGCTTCTGCAAGTGCTGAAGAAGTACGAGCTCCGGGTTAATTACCACCTTGTCAATGTGAAGGTAGGCCAGGCCCCGGGGTTCCCAGAGTACCAGGCCCTTCGTTTGGCAAACACCCAGCACCTAACCTGTGCTAGGCATTGTGCAAGACAGAGAGATACAGGCAGAACTGGGCCCCTGCTCTTAAGGAGCTCCCAGCCTAGTGAGGGAGGCAGATCAATGTGTGACCACCAGCCAGTGTAAGTGGGAAAATCAAGTTCAGGAGAGGATGCTGTCGGATCCAGAGGAGGGATGTCTCACCTGGGAGGCCAGGGAAGGCTTCTCGGAGGGGTGGTGTGGGAATCACCAAGGACAAAGAGGAGTTGGCCAACAGGAGAGAAGGGTATTCCTGGGACAGGACAGAGGACAGGCAGAGGCAGTGAGCCGCACCATCTGGGGAAACCGGGAACACAAGCAGGAGAAGGTGGGAGTGTTAAGCAGGGGCCAGGCCCGCAGAGGGCATGGTTGTCCTGCTGGAATTTGAGTTTTCCCTAAATGCAAGGGGAGCCTTTCTCCAGCAATGGAGGAGCTTGGTTCCTGCTTTATTTGAGTCAAATAACGGTGGATCGTCGTACAGATGATAGGGACTGGGGAAGGCTAGAGCCAGTGAGGCCAGCAAAGAGACCCCTGGAGTGACCCAAGCCAAACACAGTCCTGGAGGTGGGCTAGACAAGAGGGAACGGATCAGAGAGTGAGCAGGGGGTGCTCAGGGAGGAGGGGGAAGTGGCCAGGACGCCTCTAGGTTTGGGCTTGTGTGGAGAGAGATGTCATTCATAGATGCAGGTGGAGGAGGCCAGGAGTGGAGGCACAGGGAGAGGGGGTTGGAGGTGCAGGGAGAGTGGAGGCCGGGAGTGGAGGCGCAGGCAGAGGGTATTAAGCCCGCATGGCCCCAGTGAGTCAAGGCTGTCCAGGCACTGGGACTCCAGTTGTCCTTGGCCCAGGTCTTACCCCCACACCACACCCCCCAGGGTGAAAACATCACCAATGCCCCCGAACTGCAGCCGAATGCCGTCACTTGGGGTATCTTCCCTGGGCGAGAGATCATCCAGCCCACCGTAGTGGATCCCATCAGCTTCATGTTCTGGAAGGTAAAGGAGCCGGGAGCAAGCTTGCCCCGCCCACCTGGAAAACCCTGGGGAGGGATTGGGACCAAGTCCCAAGCGTGTGCTGAAGGCCACACCCTGGGCCCGCTGGACCCAGCCTTCAGGGCATACCCGGCTCTGACTCACTCACCCATGTCACTGCTGACACAGGGTGTTTGCTTCTGGGCAGGGGTGGGAAGTGATACTGGCAGTGGGCCTGTTCTATTCCGGGAAATGTCCTGTTGAGCAGAGCCCTTGGAGAGTCCTGTTAATCTTGCGTCTGTGTGTGTGCGTGTGTGCATGTGTGCGTTGCGGGGGGTGTGTGGTGTGTGTGTAGGACGAGGCCTTCGCCCTGTGGATTGAGCAGTGGGGCAAGCTGTATGAGGAGGAGTCTCCATCCCGCACGATCATCCAGTACATCCACGACAACTACTTCCTGGTCAACCTGGTGGACAATGACTTCCCACTGGACAACTGCCTGTGGCAGGTGGTGGAAGATGCACTTGAGCTTCTCAACAGGCCCACCCAGAATGAGAGAGAGATGGAGGCTCCGTGACCCTGTGTCCTGACGCCCTGCGCTGGAGCCACTCCTGTCCCACCTTCCTCCTCCACGATGCTACTTCTCTGGGAATCCCACTCTCCTTCATGTCTCTCCCACCCCTGGCCTCCACTCCCCGACCTGACGATGGCAGCTAGACTGGAGTGAGGCTTCCAGGCTCTGGCTGGACTTGAGTTGGCCCCACATGGGAACCTAGTACTCCCTGCTCTAGCCAGGAGTCTGTGCTCTTTTGGTGGGGAGCACTTCCGTCTTGCAGAGAACCACAGCGGGTGGCACCTCCTGAGAAGGCAAGGAGAGTGGTTGTTGCCAGCTAAGCCCTCGAACCAAGGCAGCCTCCAGAGCCAGCCTGGGACTCCCAGTGAACTTACACTTGGAGCCTGTGCAGTACAGGCAAAACACGCATGGGCGCCAGGCACTGGTGGCATCGTAGAAGAGATGTGGCAAAGTGCTGTACCCTTCTACCTCCTAGAGGTGGGCAGCTGGGCCCCACCTACTTGTGAGTGAAGGGACATACCACTGCCCTGCCTGCCCGCTTAGCCGTCCATGGCACCAGCCCCCTGGATGGGCATTGGGCTGACACCTACCATGCTGCTTTCTGGCACAGTTGTCTATTCTGAGCTTTGAGAGAAAAAGTACCCCTTAAGGGTTGACAGCAGCAGTCTGAACCCTTGTGCTTGGTGGGGGTCGTGGCCTTCCCCTTTTCCCTGGCTGTGGAGGCCTAAGGCTACCCCGTTCCCGGTCAAAAGCCAAGATGAGATTCACCAGCACAGGGGCCCCAGACCTGCCTGGGGCTGTGCAGCAGCCCAGCTTCCTGGCTTATTTTTCAGGTAGACCCTCGTCCTGCCAGCTGCCCTCCTCGTCCCCTCGTCCTGTCCCAGAGGTTATCTGCCTGGCACAGCTCCCCAGGAGTCACCTGCAAGCCCCATGGCCCGGGGGCAGTGACTGGCAGGTGCAGATGGACTGTTTCCTGTCCTGGATCCCAGCAGGCTGGGTGGGGTGGGGTGGCCCGGAGCAGCCTGATGGCCAAAGGGGTGGATGCAATTGTGGGACGTCCTCTTTACTCCCTTCCTGGCCTCACTGGCTGGGGCAGAAGGGCGGCCGCTAGGAGAGACTAAGAGAAGCAGCTAGGACTGAGGAGTGGGTTTTATTGTCCTTCAGAGCTCTTCAAGCTGTCCCCTCTGTCATCACTCCCCGGATGTGTGGGGCATGGTTCCTTGCCTGGGAAAGCCGAGTTCAGTTCTGTTTTTTATTCTCTGGGAACACGTCACAGCTGTAGCTGGGCCCCATGCTCTGCCCCAAGCCCCCAATCCCCGCAGGGCTCCGGCGGCTTCTGTCCACTCTCAGGGCCCTTAGGGCCTGGCTTGCTCCAGGGTCTTGGGCTACTGGCAGCTCCTCTCCTTGGGCTTCTGGCTGCCAGGCGTTGGTGCCACTTCTTAAAGGCCTGGAACCAGGGAGGGGAGGAAATGCTATTGTTGTGGGCTCTCTCCAGGGTCTGTGCCGTGCCTGCTAGAGCAACACCTGTGCCCAGCTCCTTTTGTCCCCAGGGCCCCTCCCTCTGCCCCAAGCAGCCAGCCAGTCTTGCCCAGGCCAAATGCACAAGCTCAGAATAGATCCGATGGTGATCTGGGAAGCTGTACTCAGAGCAGAGCAAATGAGGGAGGGGGTGCTCAGGACCTAGGCCCTCCATGGGCTAGTCTGAGCGGCAGCCATACCTCATGCCACACCTTCCCAAACTGAGGGACCGGGTGGGCCTGGCCTGAGCTGGGGCCACAAATCAAATCAAGGGCTCCAGCATCCAGCCTGTGTGTTCTGTAATGGAACTGACCCCCTCCCCTGAAAACAAAGGGGCCCTGGGGCTGGCAAGCAGGGAAACCTCAGATCCGCAGTGCGCAGCTGTGGCACAGGCTTCTGGAAGGCTGGCTGGGTGGAGTGCAGGGAAGAGGGTAGTACCTGGGAAAGGACCCAGCCATCTTCCTGCTGCTTTAACTGCTGAGCCACTCGCAGTCGCAGGATCCGCTGCCACCACGTCCGCCAGGCCGATCTCAGGTGCCACTCTCTGAGCTTTGGGGACAGTTGGCAGAGGAGGCCTCTTGCGCTCACGCTCCCCTGCAGTCGCCAGCCCTTCTGCCTTTCTCCCCCCACACCTCTGCGGCACCAGAGTGAAAGGGCTATGGCAAGGGGGTGTCATCTGAGTATTAACAATGCAGATTCCTGGGCCTGTCCCCCAAGGTTTTGGAGTCAGTAGGTCCAAGGGCCATACTTTTGAGAGGGGTTAGGGTTCAGTATGAGGTGAAATGGGAGATGGTCAGTATGGAGAGGGGCTGCGCCCACTCACCAGGGTCCGTGCCAGCTGTTCTGCCCCTTGGGCATCCACCCAGTGCTGCCATGCTGCTGCCAGGCACCTGGCCTGCTGGGAACCCCGCAGCCCACGAAGCAGTGCCTTAAGCCACCGGCGCTGCAGGTACTTCCTCCTGATGGCCAAGAGCATCGTGACCCTTCAGGGCCGGAAGGAGGGCAGAGCCATGGGCCTGGGCCTGCTTTTCCAGGATCCTACATGAAAGAGCACTGGCCAGAGAGGGCCCAGCTCTAGCCATGGCTCCGGCGAGCCCCTCGGCCCCTGCCCCCATCCCTCGGACCCCCCAAACTGCACACACAGCTCCTCTCACCCCAGCCTCCTTTTATGGGCCTCGCTTTGGGCTTTGAGGGCCCTGGGCTCAGGGCTGGAGTGTCCTCTTGGTCCCTGGTCCCTCATCCACAAGGGCAGGCCTGGGACCCAGCTACTCTGTCCAGGCCACTGCGGCCAGAGCTGGAAGGCAGGGCAGAGAGAATGTTCTCCGCACCCTGGAAAGGGGAGTTGAGTCAGAAGAGCTTAATGTGGGTCCAAGAAGGCAGCTGCTCTTAGTGCCCGCCTAGGAGTTGAGTACAGTGAGGAGCGTGGAGGAAGGCGCTGAGCTCAGCCTTGTGCCCTGCCCCCCATCTTCCCAGGCCTCTAGCCGCTCTGGGCTGCTGCCCAAAGAGAAATCACAGGGGCGGGACAGGAACACAAAGTTTTCTCAGAACACCTGAAACATTCCTAAGAGGGAATGGATGGGGAGAATGGTCAGTACATATAACACCGTGTCCCAAGGAGCTGATTTCCAGGCCCCTGAGGACTGGAGACCACTTCACCCCTGCACTTCAGACACTGTTTGTCCTCCGGGGCAAGGTCTCCTTACTCTGAGCCCAGGCCATTCCCCTTGGCTTCCTCTGTCCACCCAGGCTGCACTGCAGTGATGGCGCGGGCGGCACCAGCCCTGTGGCCTGTGTCCAGCAGCTGCGGGTCTGAAGGAACAACCAGAAAGGAGCACCTGAACCCCATGGGCTTGGACCTCCTGGGGCCCCACTGGGATTTCTTGGCTGGCAGGACACATCCCTGCTTCTTCCACCCATTCCCCCAGGTGGCCAAAGACATTCCAACAGTGGGGTGGGCCCCTAGAAGTTACCCCTCAGTGCCTGGGAGCACAGCCCTGGGAGGTGGCTGTTTCTCTCCCCACTTAAAACTTGTCAAAGCTGAGTTACTTGTCTGAGGCCTCATACCTCGAAAGTGGTCTGACTCCAGAGTCCGAGCCCCCGGCTAGTACTCTCTACAGAGAGGGGCTCTCCAAAGGGGCTGCTGGGGCATGTGTGCCTGTGGCAGAAAAGAGGGGGCCCTGGAATTAAGCACCCTAGGTACCATTCCCAGTGTTTAGTTTCTAGAGGCCTCGGATTCTCCATCAGTATATGGGATCCTTGTCTTGAATAGAAATGTAAAAGTACTCTGAGAAGCAATTGCCCTGTAGCTTATTTAGAAAGAAGAGACCCTGAGACCCTAGAACCTGCTGTTGCCATAGTCCCATATGTGTGAATTCTGCAACTAGCCAAGGCTAGTTCCTTTCAATTCCATTTTAAAAACAAAAACCGGGAGGCACGGTGGCTCATGGCGCAATGGGCCTGCCCAGCGGTTGGGGAGGCCAAGGCAGGCAGATCGCTTGAGCCCAGGAGTTCGAGACAAGCCCTGGCAACACAGTGAGACCCCATTTCTACAAAAAAAATAAAATTAGCCGGGTGTGTTGGCACACGCCTGTAGTCTCAGCTACTCACGCGGCTGAGGTGGAAGGATTGTTTGAGCCCTGGAGGTTGAGGCTGCAGTGAGCTGTGATTGCACCATTGCATTCCGGCCTGGGCAACAGAGTGAGACACTGTCTGAAAAAAAACGACGACCGAAAAAAGTCACCTTAGCTTTTTCTCTTAGAACCTTCTCTAAAATGTATTCTTTGTGGCATTCTGAAATAAGATTCCTGATGATGCCTGTTGATCTTAGGGACACTACCTCACCTGCCAGTATCTTTGGGGCTGTGTCCTTCAAGGACATGTCCCCAGACTGCTGTGCAGTGTCATTTTCTGTTTGGTTTTGTGGTGGCTTCTTCCCTCTTGCTAGGCCATCAACCTCTTATCACCATTTGTTGGTGTCAGAACTAACTGCTTCTGGTCTGGAGAGGGACTGACCAATGCCGTTGGGTAGAGAGAATTATGAAAGAGATTTTGGTATTTTTCTACTTTATATTTTCTGACTTTTCTGTAATGAGCATATTTCACTTTTCCAATAAGAAAAAAAAAAAAAAAACTTGACCTGGTGCAGTGGCTCACACCTGTAATCCCAGCACTTTGGGAAGTCGAGGTGGGAGGATCACTTGAATTCAGGAGTTCGAGACCAGCTTGGGCAATATGGTGAAACCCCGTCTCTACTAAAAATACAAAAATTAGCCAGGTGTGGTGGCACGCACCCGTAGTCCCAGCTACTCAGGAGGCTGAGGTGGGAGGATCGCTTGAACCTGAGAGGTGGAGGTTGCAGTGAGTTGAGATCACACCTCTGCTTCAGGCTGGGCAATTGAGCCAGACTCTGTCTCAAAAATAAAAAAACAAAAAAAAAATGCTACTGTTCCGTGTACCTATCCTGATCTTCAGCTGCACCGTGCGAAAGCATGCATTTCAGTGTCTCCCTAACAGGCTGTGACCCAACACGCTGGTCTTTGTGTCCAGACCTGCAGTGGGCTGGCACTCGAGAGGTGCTGGGTTCATCTTTGCTGATGGATTCAGAGTTGCTTGTCAGAGGCTGACTGAGAACCGGGGAGAGGTGGTGTGTACAAAGCTGCTGGGCCCCTGGGGAGGCATCCAGCCATGCTGCCGCCATGGGCCGGATCAAGCTGATTCTAAGGCCGGTGGTCCGAGGGTCATTTTTGGACCTCCCGTCCTGCCTACGCTCCCCTCACCTGCTTCCAAGGGGCTGGGGCGTCCAGCAGCAGGCTCCCCCTGCTGGCCATCCGGGGCCAGAGCGTGAGGTCAGCCTGGGGCTTGGGGCGGACCTTGCCGGCCCCTGGGGCCTTGGCCCGCAGTCCAAGCCGCACCCTGAGCCGCGCCATCTGCAGGAAGCGTCTGAGCCCAGCCTGCCGGAGCTGGGTGACGATGGCTCGTTGGACACCGCCGCAAGCCCCCGACTGCGTCGAGGCTTCTAGGACCCTGCGGGAGAGGAAGGAGTCTGCAGCCAGGGCCATCAGGGCCAGGACTCTCCGCAGGGAGCCTTTCCAGTGCCCTGCGGGAGGGGGCCCTCCAGGCCAAGCCCCAGCCACCTCCCACTCCCTCTTCTGGAGGGAGAGTCTGGGTAAACAGGATGGAGAGCGACCTGGAAGGAGAAAATCGCAGACAGGGACAAACATCCTGTTTAGGGGCAGAGAGGGGACAGTCCTGCCAGTGCCACTTTGCCTCCCCTTCCCTGGCGTTTATGGCGCTTGCTGAGTGGCTGACTGTGCTGGTGACTGCCAGGCAGGACCATCAGAGACTTCCCCAAGGAGGGGACACACAGCAAGAGGTGGTGCCAGGATGTGGTCCAGGACGGGGTGACAGGGAGATGGCTAGGGCGGCCTCTCCCTGTCACCCCCAATCACCCTCGAGCCTTTGCCCTGCCACCCAGCCACGAATTACGCTCTACCCCTGCCAAAAACAGGCTCGAGGCCTGAGCTGGAAGCACAGAGTGGGGCTGCGCTTAGACCACGGCACTCACCAGGCTCGCAGCTTCCAGGAAGCATGGACTTGGCTGACCTGGCCCCGACAGCTGGGCGCCCACAGTGCCCAGCACCGGGCTGCCTGGGCCCCAGCACTCTCTCCTTCCTGCTGCTGGGCCTCACGGTGCACGTCCGGGGCCACTGGCCATGCTGGGAAGGCCTGCGGGGCCCGGGCCTTCTTTGGCTGCCCATCTTCCTGGCCTTGCTGCCCGCAGCTTCTCCAGTGGGCAAGGGAGGCCTGGGCCACATGCTGTTCCTGTGCCCCGGCTGCAGCTGCCTGGGCTTCCCGCCATGTGGCAAACACGGCCCCCAGTGCCCTTCTCCTCAGGTCATCCTGAAAGGCTTGACGCTGGGCCCGGAGCACCCCTGTGTCTCTTACAACCTCACACCAGGCCTGGAAGTAGCTGCAAAACAGACGCATGGGGCCAGGCGTGGTGGCTCATGCTTGTAATCCCAGCACTTTGGGAGGCCAAGGTGAGTGGATCACCTGAGGTCAGTTTGAGACCGGCCTGACCAACATGGTGAAACCCCGTCTCTACTAAAAATACTAAAATTAGCCATGTATGGCGATGGGCACCTGTAATCCCAGCTACTTGGGAATTTTAGAATTGCTTGAACCCGGGAGGCAGAGGTTGCAGTAAGCTGAGATCGCGCCACCGCACTCCAGCTTGGGTGACAAGAGTGAAACTCCATCTCAAAAAAACAAAACAAACCAAAAACAGATGCATGGGAGGGCTTGTCTCGTTCTCAGAGTCAAAAGTCACATTTATTCAATGTTACACCAGCAAAGCTCCCACAAAACACTAAAGGACTAGGAACGGGTGAAAGCACTGGCTTTCCGTCTTGGAATCTCAGCCTCAGAGGGCAGGGCCTGCCCTGCAAAGGCATGGGAACCAGTAGTATGGGTTCAAGTCCCACACCAGCCACGTCCTGCCTCCCATCACATGCCCAGGTGGTTGGTGAGGGAGAGGAACACCACCTCCCACTCACTGAGAAGCCAAGAAAAAAAAAACATTTACAGCCGGGTGCAGTGGCTCACGCCTGTAATCCTAGCACTTTGGGAGGCAGAGGAGGGGCAGATCACCTGAGGTTGGGAGTTCGAGACCAGCTTGATGAACATGGAGAAACCCCGTCTCTACTAAAAATACAAAATTAGCCGGGCGTGATGCCACATGCCTGTAATCCCAGCTACTCAGGAGGCTGAGGCAGGAGAATTGCTTGAACCTGGGAGGCAGAGGCTGCGGTGAGCCAAGATCGCGCCATTGCACTCCAGCCTGGGCAACAAGAGCGAGACTCCATCTCAAAAAAAACAACCCATCTACACCCTCAGATGCAAAAGCACAGACGTCAGCCATTCTGTAGCCAACAGTTCACTGCCCCTATGGGGACACTGAACATTCGCATTTGTACTGAACTGTGGGAGGAGCCATTCTGCGTCCCTCTGCTTGGTTTTACAATGTGCATTCATAAACTGTATACATGTTCCACCAGAACATCTTTACTTAAATGAAGATTGCACTGTCTTCTCTTAGCAACGGTGTACAGCAGACACCTCCTTGCTGTGACTCCTCACAATGGGCATTATGGTAGATTTCTGAGGAGTGGATTTCTCCTTTTTTTTTTTTTTTGAGACGGAGTCTTGCTTAGTCACCCAGGCTGGAGTGCAGTGGCACAATCTCGGCTCACCACAACCTCCACCTCCTGGATTCAAGTGATTCTCCTGCCTGAGTGTCCTGAGTAGCTGAGACTACAGGCACCTGCCACCACGCCTGGCTATTTTTCATATTTTTAGTAGAGATGGGGTTTCACAGGCCGGGCGCGGTGGCTCACGCCTGTAATCCCAGCACTTTGGGAGGCCGAGGCGGGCGGATCACAAGGTCAGGAGATCGAGACCACGGTGAAACCCCGTCTCTACTAAAAATACAAAAAATTAGCCGGGCGCGGTTGTGGGCACCTGTAGTCCCAGCTACTTGGGAGTCTGAGGCAGGAGAATGGCGTGAACCCGGGAGGCGGAGCTTGCAGTGAGCCGAGATCGCGCCACTGCACTCCAGCCTGGGCGACAGAGCGAGACTCCGTCTCAAAAAAAAAAAAAAAAAAAAAAAAGAGATGGCGTTTCACCATGTTGGCCAGGCTGGTCTTGAACTCCTGACCTCAAGTGATCCACCTGCCTCGGCCTCCCAAAGTGCTGGGATTATAGGCATCAGCCACTGTTCCCAGCTGATTTCTCCCATGTTAATCATATCCTCTAAAACCAAAGAACTGACCTGACCAGGAGCTGGACTCCCAGGGCTTGTTGGGGCCACAGGTTAGGGTTGGGGTTTGCCACCACTCCCAAAATAGATAATAAGGTATCAGTGGTCATGGCCCTCTGTCTCTGGGCTAGGGTCTCCCTGCATGCCCCTTATTCCCCAGGCCATAGGCCTCCTATCTGGGCCACCCTCTGAGCTTCCCACCCCCTGGGTGCTCTTCTTGCTATTCCTTGGGTGGGGAGGACCAACACCCTCCCACCCCCAGGCCCACCCACCTCTGCAGTAGCAGTTGCTCTGGCCGGGTCACTGTGCGTCTCTGACGAGCTGCTGCCTGCTGCCAGCTCCGAAACACAGCCCTCTGCAGGCCCTGGAGGTGGCCCTGCACCCACGTCTGGCACTTTTCATGCAGGAACTGCTGTCCTGGGGCCAGAGAGATGCTGAAGAGCCACTGGGTGCTCACCCCAGCCTCTCCCCATGGGTCTCTGCTTAGCCAGCCCTTCGCTCCCTACCAGGTGGGAACAGACAAGGCCGCCCTGACTGTCTGGGTTAAAAAGCCTCTATTACGCGTGTCCTGCTGGTGACCAGGCCAGCCCAGCTCATAGAGTTGTTGGGTTTGTTTTTGTTTGTTAATTTTGCCACAATGTTTTCGAATCTGGAGAATTCCGGTAAAAATCTAATTTTCTGGTGTTTTTTTTTTTTTTTTTTTTTTGAAACGGAGTCTCACTCTGACGCCCAGGCTGGAGTGCAGTGGCCCAATCTCAGCTCACTGCAACCTCTGCCTCCCGAGTTCACGCCATTCTCCTGCCTCAGCCTCCCGAGTAGCTGGGACTACAGGTGCCCGCCACCTCGCCCGGCTAGTTTTTTGTATTTTTAGTAGAGATGGGGTTTCACCGTGTTAGCCAGGATGGTCTTGATCTCCTGACCTTGTGATCCGCCAGCCTCGGCCTCCCAAAGTGCTGGGATTACAGGCATGAGCCACTGCGCCCGGCCCAAAAATCTAATTTTCAATTTTTCTGTAAAAACTGGAAGTTCTGGAAACACTGGCTCAGTGTTCCCGCTGGGGAATGACTGGGCTGCGTAAGCAGCTGTCCCCAGCGGACAGGACATGACTTTCCAGAACAACCACAGCCCTGTCTACCAGCATTAACGCGATGTGTTGGTGTAGTGGGCAGCCTCCAAGATAGCATCCTGTATTCCTGTCCCGGGCAATGCCCCGCCTTGAATACGGGCTGGGTTTATTAATTTGCTTCTAACAGACAGAATTTGGCAGAAGCAATGGGATGTCACTTCTGATATCAGGTTATAAAAAGATTGCTTGGGGCCAGGTGCGGTGGCTCACGCTTGTAATCCCAGCACTTTGGAAGGTGGAGGTGGGTTGATCACTTGGGGGCAGGAATTTGAGACCAGCCCAGTAACATGGTGAAACCCTGTCTCTACTGAAAATACAAAAATTAGCCAGGCATGGTGGCAGGCGCCTATAATCCCACCTACTAGGGGAGCTGAGGCAGGAGAATTGCTTGAACCCAGGGGGCAGAGGTTGCAGTGAGCCCAGATCGCACCACTGCATGCATGGGCAACAGAGTGAGACCGTCTTGGAAAAAAAAAAAAAAAAAGAAAGAAAGACTGGTTGGGCCATGCAACAGCTCTTTTTGCCCAGAGGCGGAGACCCAGACAGCAAGCCTGCCTTGGGACTATCCCTTCTCCCTTCACTGGTCACATTCCTTAGGGCTTCTAACACACTGCACCCTCAGCCAGCTCTGCAAATCCAGTCCTTCCCACTGCCCTATTTTGCTGAACCCTTCCCACACCTCAACTTCTCTCTCCATTGCTCTGCCTGCTGAGCCCTCCTTACCTCCTCCTGGGACCCTCTCTGACTAACTCTACTGGCCTCTAAGGGCACCATGACTCTGCCCACTTCTCCCCCAGCTCAGGGCTCAGACCAGTGACTCCTAAAGGCCAGGTAAGGATAAGGATGAATATTAAGGTGATGAGGTAGGGACTACATTATCCCCATTTTACAGATGTGTAAGCTGAGACTCAGAGAGGTTAAGTAGGTTTTTTAAAGTTCACACAACCAGGGTATGGAAGAGCAGGGATTCAAACTCAAGACTACAGAGTCCAAGCCCCCAGGTTCTGCTCAGCCACCCAACTCCTGGGTGTAGCCTGTGGGGATCTCATCACCAGACTTTGCTAGGGGATGGGAGGGTATGGGGGATGGTGAGGCACTCTGCAGAGTCACTGTTCCTCTAGGAAATTTCACAGCTGAGGTCCATTCATTTACTCATACATAGCACAATGTGTAAGAATTGGTCAGCCTGTTTTCTTTGAATCCAGCTAAGTCAGTGTCACAGCTCAGCGGACCTCTCTGATCAACTGCATTTGTTATCTATGGCTGTGTAACAAATTACCCAAGTACTTATTAGTTTTAAACCACAGATGTAGCTTAGCCTCTGCCTCAAGGCCTCCCATGAGGTTACAGTCAAGTTGTTGGCCAGGGCTGCAATCGGTCTCAGACAGACCCTGGCCCTGCCCTCACCTGCAGTGCCCCCAACCCAGTCTCCACTCACCCTGCCAAGAGGAGTGCCAGTGGCATAGGGCATCTCGTGCCAGTCGCCAGCCCCGCTCCTGGGCCCACCTCTCCACCAGCCGCAACTGCAGCAGCCGCCGACGCCACAGGCCCAGCACAGCCCTGCAGCTCCGATCCCAGGCCCAGTGGGAAGCCAGCTCTCTCCAGGCCCCTTGGGCTGTTGCCCAGCGGCTCCAGCTGAGGAAGATGCTGGGAAAGGGAGGGTCCACCCTGAGGATGGCCACTGTCCCCCAAATCCCAGGCCAGCCCTGCCCCGCCCTCCTCTCTCTTCTCTCCAGCAGTGGGGGGCTCTGGGTGACTCTTCTGTTTCCATTATGGGAGGGTGGGTTGCTGAGGACTGGAGGGGCCAAGCACCTCTCCAAGGGTCATGATGACTAGTGGGAGGGATACGGTGGGACTCTAGACCCCCACTGCCAAGTCCTGTGCTCAACCACTAGCCATAAACATTGCTATGGACTGAGCACTCACAACGTGCCACACACGGCACTGGGAAATGTTTGTGCCCTGCCTCGCCACTGCCCCACTGGAGCGAGTACTATTAACCCCATTTTACAGATAGGCAAATAGAGGCACAGAGAAGTTATGCAACTTGCCCAAGATCACACAGCCAGTGAGGGGCAAAGCTGGGATTAGAACCCAGGGAGACCAACTCTTATGCATTGTGCTATAAATGAATGAACCTCGGCTGTGAAATCTCCAAGAGGAACAGTGACTCTGTAGAGTGCCTCACCGCTCCCTGACACCCTCTCAGTAGGACAGGGCAGGAAGACAGGAGGAACTGAAGGCCCCTGAGGTGCAGACCCCAAGGGGCTGCTTCTGTGAAGGCCAAGGGTGGATGGGAGAAGGGGCTAGGAAACAGTAAGTCCATAGAGTGGCAGGCGGATGGGGAGGGGTCCCTACCGCCTCTGGAGGGTATGCTGGTACCACCTGGCTGTGCCCTGGAACTGCCAGGCCCGTGCCCGCCAGAGCCGAAAGCACTGCCCCTGCTGCCGCTGCCCAGCTGCCCACAGAAGGCTCCCCTGGAGAGTCTCCGGGAGGGTGGGGGCCCTGGGAACCTGGGGAAGGAGGTGTGGAGTCCTGGGTCCCCCACCCTGTCCCCTTCCCACAATCTCCACCCACCCACCCCTACCTGCCCCAGCCCCTCCCCACCCACCTACCTCTCACCTTCTCCAGAGAGCCTTGGGATGTGCTGCTGCCCATTGGCTCCGGAGCTGAGGGTGTCTTGCTGTAGCTTGATGTGGCATCTGGGCCCAATGCCCTCATGTGCCACCATCTCAGGCTGCACTGCAGCATCCGCTGCTGCAGGCCCTGGAGGAAGGAGCTAGAGAAGGGGCAGGTGAGTGCCCAGCCCAGCCTCACCCCCAGGCTGGGCAGGGTGGCCAAGCAGGGGCTACCCCACCCTGGCCGCTGTGAAAGAGGTGGGCTGGAAGGGTGCTCACCACAGGCCAGACACTGGGCTAGCATTCCACGCTGCCGCCCGCCACAGCGGCTGCAAGCTGGGATCGCTGGGGGCTTCAAGAGATACCGATGCCCACCAGAGTCCTATCCCTGGATTCTGCTAGATTCTGACTTAATGGTCAGGGTACCATTATCCTGGGCTTCCAGACTTTTCTAGAGTTCTCTGAGTGACCTCAGTGAGCAGCTGAGACTGGGCTGACTGGGCTAATGCTTTTTTGTTTTGTTTTGTTTTGTTTTTTAGACAGCGTCTGACTCTGTGGCCCAGGCTGGAGTACAGTGGCACAATCTTAGCTTACTGCAACCTCTGCCTCCTGGGCTCAAGCGATCCTCCCGCCTCAGCCTCCCGAGTAGCTGGGATTACAGGTGTGTGCCACCACGTCTGGCTAATCGAGCTAATGCTCCACCTGCATTACTGGCTGACTTCATCATGCTTCTGGGGCGGGCTGGGAGCCCACGCAGCTGATCAGAGATGGAGCTGAGCCCCAGGCCCAGGGACCCCAGACGCCAGGGCCCACCCCCACAACCACACCAGTACTTCTGCCTCCACTCACTTATAAAAATAAGAAAGCTGAGCCTGGGGGAAAGTCATTTCCCCAAACTCCAGATAGCAGCAGACCTGGGATTCATCTAGGCCCTGGAGGGTGCCCCGGGAGAGCTGCCACGAGATATCAACTGTGCCCTGAGGTCCAAAGGCCAGAGGATGGGCTGGAGAGGGAGGGCCTGGGGGCTGTGGGGCAGGCATGTGAGTAATGAGTGGTACCCTCACATTCTGAAAGGTCACGGTGAATTGAATTCTCCTGGACTTGCAGGGGTACAGTGAAAGAGGCTGAGGGTCCAAGTGGACCATGTGGGTATGTGGCTTTCAAGGACAGAATTCTTTTTTTTTTTTTTTTGAGACAGAGTCTCACTCTGTCACCTGGCTAGAGTGCAGTGGCATGATCTTGGCTCACTGCAGTCTCTGCCTCCTGGGTTCAAGTCATTCTTCTGTCTCAGCCTCCCAAGTAGCTGGGATTACAGGTGCTTGCCACCACGCCTGGCTAACTTTTGTATTTTTAGTAGAGACAGGGTTTCGCCATGTTGACCAGGCTGGTCTCGAACTCCTGACCTCAGGTGATCCACTGGCCTTGGCCTCTTAAAGTGCTGGGATTACAGGCGTGAGCCACCGCACCCAGCCAAGGACAGAATTCTTAACCCTGCAACTGCTGGCCTCCATTCCTCCTGACATCCCCTCGGGGAAGCTGGCTGCTCCTGATCGCCACCCTCCCCTCACCCACAGCCTTTGTCTGGGCTCTGAACTCCAGCAGTGACCATCTTGTGTGGGGGCAGCAACAAGGTCTTACCACAGGAACTTCTTGCTCCTGACTCCCACTGGGATTTAGAGCAACCTGCTCTGGCCCTCTGAGCCTCACTTTCTCTAGTTGTGTAATGAGGCTGATGGGGGAGGAGATAAGAGCTTGATCCCTGGCTCCTGCCCTTGTTCCTTTACAGTATTTACTCCATGCCTGCAACATGCCAGGCACCTGCAGGGAGCTGGGAGCCAGCAACGACAGCCACACAGACATGGTCCCTGCCACCACGGGACTTGCACTTGGCAGGGAGACGGGCATTCACTAGGGCTCCGGCCACCCCTGTAGAGCTCTATGTCTGTGTCTCTGGCAGCCCCCTGGCCCCCAGTGGACCTCTGCTCAATCATTGTTCCAGTGTCCCTAGGCCACCTCCCAGGGCCTGACATCGGCTGGGCACCACAGTGTGCCAGGGCCTGTGCAGGGCCACGGGGAGGAGTGGGATGCAGTTACTGCCCTATGGGACGTTCCTCCCGCATTCCTCTTGGTGCTGAGCACTGCTCATGTGCCCATACCACAGTCCCCAGGCCCAACCCCAGGTCACAAGCTTGGGGAAACCTACTTGGCCCACTGGCACTGGAAAAGCCGCGTCTTCCACAGCAGCAGCGCCCGGCAGAGGGCCAGTGTCCGGCAAGCATCCTGCAGAGAGCCCCGGCCTTGCTCCTGCAGCCCTTGGGCCTGGCCCACTGTACCCAGGCCACAGGCTGCAGGGCCTGCAGTGTGGAGAGCCTCACGTCCTGAAAAACCGTCAAGAGGCCAGTCAGCTGCCCCCCCACTGACCTCACTCTGCCCACAGCCATTGATAGCTGCTGCCTTGGGCTCCTCTTGGGAGCTCTCGTCTCTTGTCCCCTCCCAGCGCTTCCAAGCCCTCCCCTCCAGGTGGCCTCAAAGATCCCATCTTCCCCAGTTAAGTGCTTTTTTTTTTTTTTGAGACAGAGTTTTGCTCTTGTTGCCCAGGCTGGAGTGCAATGGCGTGATCTTAGCTCACTGTAACCTCCGCCTTCTGGGTTCAAGCGATCCTTGTGCCTCAGCCTCCCGAGTAGCTAGAATTACAGGTGTGCTACCACACTTGGCTAAGTTTTGTATTTTTAGTAGACACAGGGTTTCACCAGGTTGGCCAGGCTGGTCTCGAACTCGTGACCTCGGGTGATCCACTCTCCTTGGCTTCCCAAAGTGCTGGGATTATAGATGCGAGCCACTACACTGGGCCCCCAGTTAAGTTTTGGGGTAGAGATTAGGGCTGTGGGTCCCCCATCACACCAGGAGCTTCCCAAGAGCAGGGCCCACATCCCTTCCGGGCGGGATCTGGGATAACCAGCACCGAGGGAGCCTGCAGTGGGAGGAGCAGAACCGAGTGTCTCACCCACAGCAGCTCGCGATGGGACATAGGGATGTGGCTCACCTGGGGCCTGCCCACTTTGGGACCCCTCCTGCCCCCTCCCAGGACTACACGCTGCCCTCCTAGAAAGCCCCAGTTCTACCACCTCCCACAAGAATTCACATATTCAACTAGGGCCCACTGAAGAAGGGGATTAAGTGACATGGTTTGCTGGGGTAGAAGCCAACACTAGCTCACCTGCTTTCTGCCGGCAGAGGGACAGCTGGGTCACCTTTGCCCCATCTGAGTCCCGGAGCTGTTTCATCTGCACCCACTGTTCCAGGCATTTCCTCAGGGTCCCCGTCCGGCGGTCAGCCAGGTGGTCTCGGTACCGGGACCCTCTTTGCACGAACTGCTGCCAGGCTCCAAAGCACCTGGGAGAACAGAGGGAAAATACCCATGTCAATTGCAAGGTCTGATGACTGCGGTTCCAGCTGCCTACCTTTGCCAGACACACTACCCAGGCCTTGGGCAAGCCGCTTCATCACTCTGAGCCTCCATATTTTGTTGTTGTTGCTGTTGTTGCGGTTGTTGTTTGTAGACAGAGTTCCGCTCTTTTGCCTAGGCTGAAGTGTAATGGTGTGATCTCTGGTCACTGCAACCTCTGTCTCCTGGGTTCAAGCGATTTTCCTGCATCAGCCTCCAGAGTAGCTGGGATTACAAGCATGCACCACCATGCCCGGCTAATTTTTTTTTTTTTTTTGCATTTTGTATTTTTAGTAGAGATGGGGTTTCTCTGTGTTGGCCAGGCTGGTCTTGAACTCCTGACCTCAAGTGATCCAGGCACCTTGGCCTCCCAAAATGCTAGAATTACAGGCTTGAGCCACCGTGCCCGGCCAAGTCTCTGTTTTCTCATCTGTAAAACGGGGCTGCTTTGAAGATGCATCGCACGTCACCTGCTCAGGCCATGACACTGTCACCTCTGGCAGCGCGGTGGCCTCAGCAGCCTCTGACCTGGCCTCCCTGCATCCACCTCAGCCTCCTCCAGTCATTTCCTATTCCATAACCCAGTGGTGTTTTTCCAATCTCAAATCAAATCATCATAGTCGCCTGCTAATCCTCCAGTGGTAGCCTCCTTGCTCTACCATCAAATTTCAACCCCTCCCCATGGCCAACAAGGCCCCCACAGATTTTTCCAATCTCATCTTCAACTACCCTCAGCCCCCCTACCCTGTACTAACAAGGCTCCAGTTCGGCTCTGCTACACCTCAGGATCTTACCCTCCTGGCCAGAGGCCTCTGAACACTCTACCCTTCTCTGATCTCCCTCCACCAGGCAACTCTTCATCCTTCACATCGACACCGAACCTTGGTCTAGGTCAGCTTCCTGTGCTAAAAGTTCTCACGGAAAACTACACTGGGGGATGTAGTCAGCAAAATGCAAAGAGTGAGAAACTAGCAGGCAAGCAAATTAGTTTCTTCAACAAATAACATGCAATGAAAAAAAAAAAAATGAAGGGGAGCCTATTATAAAGATTTTAACAGGCTGGGCGTGGTGGCTCACACCTATAATCCCAGCACTCAGGGGAAGCCGAGGTGGGAGGATTGCTTGAGCTCAGGCTGGAGTGCAGTGGTGCGATCATGGCTCACCAGTGGGACTCTGTCTCTACCAAAAATTTTTAAAATTCGCCAGTCATGGTAGCTCACACCTGTAATCTCAGCACTTTGGGAGGCCAAGGTGGGTGAATCGCTTGAGCCCAGGAGTTCGAGGCCAGCCTGGGCAACATGGCAAAAAATTAAATCTCTACAAAAAATTTAAAAATTAGCCAGGTATGGTGGCACCTATAGTCCCAGCTACTTGGAAGCAGAGATGAGAAGATCCCTTGAGCCTAGGAATTTGAGGCTACAGTGAGTCATGATTGCACCACGGTACTCCAGCCTGGATGACAGAGTAAGACCCTGTCTCTAAAATTTTTTTTTTGAGATGGAGTCTCGCTCTGTCGCCCAGGCTGGAGTGCAGTGGCCGGATCTCAGCTCACTGCAATCTCCACCTCCCGGGTTTACGCCATTCTCCTGCCTCAGCCTCCCGAGTAGCTGGGACTACAGGTGCCCGCCACCACGCCCAGCTAGGTTTTTGTATTTTTTTTTTAGTAGAGACGGGGTTTCACTGTGTTAGCCAGGATGGTCTTGATCTCCTGACCTCATGATTCGCCCATCTCAGCCTCCCAAAGTGCTGGGATTACAGGCTTGAGCCATTGTGCCCGGCTAAATTGTTTTTTTTTTAATTAAAAATTAAAAGACTTGAATGACTTATCAACCAACTGCCATACGTGGACCTTATTGCAAACTCTAACACAATATATACTTGCAAAACAATTGGAAATGTGAATACTGGACAGATAATTCGTGAGTATTAAGGAACAGTTGTTTCATTATTTTTCAGGTGTGAGAGTGGTATTGTGGTTATGTATTTATTTATTTATTTATTTATTTATTTATTTCTGAGATAGAGTCTCACTCTGTCGCCTAGGCTGGAGTGCAGTGGCATGATCTCAGCTCACTGCAACCTCTGCCTCCTGGGTTCAAGCAATTCTTGTGCCTCAGCTTCCCGAGTAGCTGGGATTACAAGTGTTCATCATTACGCTCGATAAATTTTTGTATTTTTAGTAGAGACGAGGGTTTCACCATGTTGGTCAGGCTGGTTTCGAACTCCTGACCTCAAGTGATCCACCTGCCTTGGCCTCCCGAAGTGCTGGGATTACAGGCATAAGCCACTGCGCCTGGCCAATGGTTATGTTTCTAAAGAGTCCTTATCTTTTAGAGAGGCATGCAAAAGTATTTATGGATGAAATGGTATAATGCATGGGATTTGCCTCAAAATAATTTGGAGCGGGGGATGTATTTGGAGTACATATGAAACAAGCTTCAAGAGAGGCTGATTTTGTTGAAGCTGGGTAATTGGTGCGCTGGGGTTTATTATCCTATCTGCTCTACTTTTGAGTAAGATAAAAATGCCCCACAGGGCCGGGCGCGGTGGCTCAAGCCTGTAATCCCAGCACTTTGGGAGGCTGAGACAGGCGGATCACTAGGTCACGAGATCGAGACCTTCCTGGCTAACACAGTGAAACCCCGTCTCTACTAAAAAATACAAAAAACTAGCCGGGCGAGGTGGCGGGCGCCTGTAGTCCCAGCTACTCGGGAGGTTGAGGCAGGAGAATGGTGTAAACCCGGGAGGCGGAGCTTGCAGTGAGCTGAGATCCGCCACTGCACTCCAGCCTGGGTGACAGAGCGAGACTGCGTCTCAAAAAAAAAAAAAAAGAAAAAAAAAATGCCCCACAGGCCGGGCGTGGTGGCTCATGCCTGTAATCCCAAGCACTTTGGGAGGCTGAGGTAGGTGGATCACCTGAGGTCAGTAGTTCGAAACCAGCCTGACTAATATGGTGAAACCCCGACTCTGCTAAAAATACAAAAAAAAATTAGCTGGGCATGGTGGCATGTGCCTGTAAACCCAGCTACTTATGAGGTGAGGCAGGAGAATCGCTTGAACCCGGGAGGTGGAGGTTGCAGTGAGCCGAGATGGTGCCACTGCACTCCAACCTGGGTGACAGAGCGAGACTCTGTCTCAAATAATAATAATAATAATGCCCCATAATAAAAAGTTAACCACCAGGAAGCAAAAAAAGAAACTCATAGATCTGTGTTCCTTCTCTTCACAACACTTAAGCCAGGTGGTACTCACATACACCCTTGGGACTGCCAGTTTCCTGTCTGTTCCCCCACCAGCCATGGGTTCCACTGTGATGATGGGAAGAGGTGGGAAGCTGGGACTAAGCTTTGCTTATAACCAAATCCCAGCCAGTGGGGCCGGCTAGCATGTTCTAGGCATGCTCAGTCGATGGCTGCTTTCACTTCCCATTTGCATCCTTGCCTCTCAATACTAGGAGTTAAGAGCTGACTTAAAGGGAAGTGGTGGCCAGGCACGCTGGCTCACGCCTGGATTCCCAGCACTTTGGGAGGCCAAGGTGGGCATATCACTTGAGGTTAGGAGTTCGAGACCAGCCTGGGCAACATGGTGGAACCCTGTCTCTACTAAAAATACAAAAAATTAGCTGGGCATGGTGGCGCGTGCCTATGGTCCCAGCTACTTGGGAAGCTGAGGTGGGAGGATCGCTTGAGCCAGGGAGGTGGAGGGTGCAGTGAGCAAGATGGTGCCACTGTACTCCAGCCTACGTGACAGAGTGAGACCCCATCTCAAAAAAAAAGGGAAGGGTGTCCTACCTGCACAGCCAAGCTCTCTGGTGCTGGGGGCTCAGTGGCGCCACCCAGGCTGCACCTGCAGCAGTAAAGTGCCAGGCATGGGGGAAGCTCCCTGTCGTCTGTGTGGCCCTGGTGGCCTTCCGCAGACTCTCCTTCTGCTGTCTGGCCCGTTCCTTCTGTTGGCACCACAGGAAGAAGACTAAGGAGGCAGGGAGGAGGGAGAGAAAAGAGAGAGTAAGCAGACGGGAGGATCCGAGCCAGGAGGGGCCCCTGACACGTGGGGTGCCTGTCTCCCCCATCTCTGAGTAAGTTAAATCTAGCTCCAATACTCCAGCCTCCGGTGTGGGCCTGCATCAGCGTATCAGCCCAGAAATGCAGGCTGTGCTCCTCTCATGCTGTGTGTCCTCAAACTAGTTGCTTAACTTCTCTGTGCCTCAGTTTCCCATCCGTAAAATGGGCACAATTCCTCTTGGGGGGTCACTGTGAGGCTCAAATGAGAGTGTCTCTGGGAATGTGCCAAAGCAGATGCACAATAAACATTCACTCAAACTGGGTCCCCCGCCCCTGCCCAGTGCGGAGCTCAGGCCCTGCATGTCCAGGCTCCACCTCCCTGCTTTCCCAGCACCCCACATCTCACCCGCCAGTTGCAGGGCCTCCAGTATCTGGACTCTCTCATCTCTGCTGTCTGTTCTCTGCCCAGGATGTGACAGAAGCCACTGAGCTCTCTCCTCCTCCCTCAGACTTCCTGGACTAAAAGTGAAGTTGCCCAGAGAGAAGCCGATGACCCGGGAGGGAGGGCACACGGTCCCAACCTGTCCACCCCACCCCAGGCAGATGTGGTCTGCCCTTGGGAGCAGGGGGCGCTGAGTCCCCCATCCTCTCCTGGACAGTTCATTTTATGTCAGATTTAAAAGCTATTGCTGGGGGGAGGTTCTGCTCTTGATTTATTCTCTTTAATACTATTTGGATTTTTTTTAAACAACAAACATGTATTAAAATAAATATCATTTAAATAATTATTTAAATACATTTGTTCAATTTAAAAACAAGAACATGGCCAGGTGTGGTGGCTCACACCTGTAATCCCAGGACTTTAGGAGGCTGAGGCGGACAGATCACTTGAAGCCAGGAGTTTGAGACCAGCCTGGCTAACATAGCGAAACCCATCTCTACTACAGAAAAAAAAAAAAGATTTTATATATTATATATATATATATATATATTTAAACACACGCACACACACAAATTAGCCAGTGCGGTGGCACACACTCGTAGTCCCAGCTACTCGGGAGGCTGAGGCATGAGAATTGCTTGAGCCTGGGTGGCACAGGTGGTAGTGAGCAGAGATCGCACTACTGTACTACAGCCTGGGTGACAGAGCAATGCTCTGTTTAAAAAAAAAATGGCCGGGCGCGGTGGCTCAAGCCTGTAATCCCAGCACTTTGGGAGGCCGAGACGGGAGGATCACGAGGTCAGGAGATCGAGACCATCCTGGCTAACACGGTGAAACCCCGTCTCTACTAAAAACTACAAAAAACTAGCCGGGCGAGGTGGCGGGCGCCTGTAGTCCCAGCTACTCGGGAGGCTGAGGCAGGAGAATGGCGTAAACCTAGGAGGCGGAGCTTGCAGTGAGCTGACATCCGGCCAGTGCATTCCAGCCCGGGCGACAGAGCGAGACTCCGTCTCAAAAAAAAAAAAAAAAAAAAAAAAAAAAAATACCCAACTATAGTAGAAAATTGGGGAAATAAAGAAAAATATAACCAGAGGCCAAGCGCAGTAGCTCACACCTGTAATCCCAGCACTTTGGGAGGCTGAGGCAGGCAGATCACTTGAGGCCAGGAGTTTAAGACCAGTCTGACCAACATGGCGAAACCCTATCTCTACTAAAAAAAATACAAAAAAGAAAAAAAAAGAAAAAAAATCAGCCGGGCGTGGTGGTGTGTGCCTGTAATCCCAGCTACGTAGGAGGCTGAGGCGGAAGAATTGCTTGAACCCAGATGGAGGTTGCAGTAAGCAAGATTGTTCCACTGCACTCCAGCCTGGGCAAAAAAAGAAAAGAAAAGAAAAGAAAAAAATAACCGACTTTAATCCCACTGCTCCAGAGATAAGCATAGTTTCCATTTTAGTATTTTTCAATTAAATATTTATTTTTCACTCCTTAATTGTGGTAAAATACATGTCAGAAAGTTTACCATTGTAACCATTTTTTTTTTTTTTTTTTTTTTGAGACAGAGTCTCGCTGTGTCGCCCAGGCTGGAGTGTGGTGGTGAGATCTTGGCTCACTGCAAGCTCCGCCTCCTTAAGTGTATGGTTCAGCAGTGTTAGGCTTCGCATTGCACATTTTCGTTTTTTTTTTTTTTTTCCTTCTGGTCCTTTTTCTATGCACTGTGTGGTTTCTATGCAACTATGTGGTTGGGAAAAATATTTTTGATACATTTTTATGCTCCTTTAAGAAAAATTTAACATTGCCACACCATTTTCCCTTGTTTTTAAAAATGCTATGCAAATATTCTTTTTTTTATTTTTTTAATTTTTTTTTTTTTATTTTTTGCAAATATTCATAAAAATACTTCCAGGGAGGGGGCTATGAGAGGATGAAGCTTTCAAGTTAATTAATATACTTCTGACTATTTGGAATATTTTTCAAATTGAGCATGCATTACTGCTATGATTGGAAACAAAACCAATAAAAAATCTTCCTAAACATCATATTGGATGGTTGCTAATCGTTCATTACATGGTCAAACCATCATTTCCTCACTCACTGTTGAGCATTCAGGCTGCTTTTCAGCTTATTTTTTTTGAGACAGGATCTTGCCCTGTTGCCCAGGCTGGAGTGCGGTGGCATGATCATAGCTCACTGCAGTCTTGATTTCCTGGCCTCAAGTGATCCTCCTGCCTCAGCCTCTAGAGTGGCTGGGACTACAAGCACGCCCCCACGCCTGGCTAAATGTTTACATTTTTTTGCTAGAGACGGGGTCTCGCTATGTTGCCCAGGCTGCTGTCTAACTCCTGGCCGAGGCCTCCCAGAGTGTTGGGATTAAAGGCGTGAGCCACCATGCCTGGCTGTTTTGAAGTTTTTACAATTATAAATGATGCCGTGATGGACATCTTTTTTGCATCAATCTTTGCCCACATCTGCTTATTTCATTCCCATTCTTTTGTGGGGATGAGGAAGTAGTGGGGGTAAGGCAGGAAGCGGGAGAAGGAAGGCCACCAGCTTCCCAGGCCACGCTGACCAACCTGATGTGTTCCAGCCTGCTTCTCTGGGAGAGGTCCGCCACTGTGCTTCTTCCCAAGGAGGGGCCTTGGCCCTGGGCTCTCCTGGAGGGCGGGGACCCTGGCCCAGCCTGCATGTGGGGCTGTACTTGTTTCTGCTGTAAAGCCAGGTTTCTCCACTGGCTCAAGAGAGAAGGGGAAAGGAGATGTTGGCCTTGAATCTGCCTCCCAAGGAAACACCAGGCAGGGGAGGGGACAGGAGTAACACACGCCTATCAGATTCCACAGCCTGTGGTCTTAACCATTACTCTGCCTATTCGTTCCTTCTTTGGGCATGAAGGAATGAATGAATGAACAAATACAGAGAGATGCATCCCAAGAGGCAACACTTTCCTTAGAAGACGAAAGCTGGGACTGGACCCCTCTCAGAGCACCCCTTTCCCAAGGAGGGAAGGACACAGATACTCCCTTCCAGCCCTGGCTGGCAAACCACTAATAAAAAATAGCAGCCACTTATCTACTAGCTTGCTGTACGCTAGGCAGTGTTCTGAGTCTCTTATTAATTTACTCTCACAATGACCCTGAGAGAGGTATGTACTATTATTATCATCATCCCATTTTAGAGAGAAAGAGACTGGGGCACAGTGAGGTTAGGTAACTTGCCCAAGGTCACACAGCTAGCAAGTGGTAGAGGGGGCAGGATTTGAACTTAGGCAGAGCTGATTCGGGTGTGTGGACTCACAACTACACGATCTACTGCTGATCATTCATGAGGTGCAACCTATGCCCAGTGGGTGCCCTCTCCATAGGCTGAGTCTCCTCCCCAGACACACTAGTGCTTCACACAGCCCCCTGGCCCAACCTGGGGACTCCTGACCTCTCGGAAGCTCCAGGCCAGCAGAATCTTTGTGTACTGCCCGCATGCTGCCTCCAGCTGAGCCTCCCGGAGCCACAGGGCCTGAAGGCCCTTTCGCAACAGCTGCCAGCGGCCCAGTGCCACTGCCGCCACCACTGGATCCGACTGCCTCTTCACCAAGTGCCTCCAAGATCGAAAACATCTGGACAACAGCTGCCAACTGGGGGCAGACCACGGCTGATCAGGGGTGGACTGCCCTCCTATCCCCAGGGAGAGCCCAGTGGCTGGATACCCTCCGAGATGCCTTTCCTGCAATCAGTCGGGTGGTGACCCACACCACAACAGAAGTAACACACTGCAGACTGGAAGAACTTCCCTCTTACTGATGGCTGGACTTGGAAACCCCACACAAGCAAGGCCCTGGGGGTCGGAGAATGCCATCTTTATTTCTTTTATATATATATATATATAATTTTGAGACAGAGTCTTGCTCTGTCACCCAGGCTGGAGTGCAGTGGCATGATAATGGCTCACTGCAGCCTCGACCTCTTGGGCTCAAGCGACCCTCCCACCTCAGCCTTCCGCGTAGCTGAGACTACAGACGTGCACCACCACACCCGGCTGATTTTTGTAAAATTTTTTTTTTTTTTGTAGAGACAGGGTTTTGCTATGTTGCTCAGGCTGGTCTTGAACTCCTGAGCTCAAGCAATCTGCCTGCCTCAGTCTCCCAAAGTGTTGAGATTACAGGCAGGAGTCACTGCATCCAGCCAGAGATTGCCCTCTTTGCCAAAAACCCAGGGTAGCCTCGGAAGTTCAGGACACTGAGTGCCCTAAACCCACAAGCATCCCTTCATTCTCGTCCCTGGGGCCCTGGAGGCTCCCTTCATTCCCCAGCAGGGACAGGAAATAAGTTCCTCTTCCTTGAAACCCTGCCTCATCTCCATCAGGCCCTCATCTCCGTTCGCACAGGCAAATGGAAGCACAGTCCTGAGCATGTGTCCCCCCCGCTCCAACCCCTGTCCCCACCCCGCCATGGCCTCACCAGGTTGCCTCAGACTCTGGGGCTACAATGTTTTGTGCCTTGTTCTGGGAAAGCAAGAGTACAGAACACAGTTCTCAGGCCGAGCAGCAGGCAGGACAAGGCACCCCCTGCCGAGCCTCCCTGCCCCGGAGCAACGCCCCCCGCCCCCCACCCCACCTCCAGCCTCCCCCAGCCTCTACCTTCGAGGCATTGCTCGCTGAGATTGTGTCTGGCAGATGGAAAGCCGTCCTCTCCTCCTCCCTGTGGACCCGCTCCCTCGGGGCCCCCTCCTCTCCTTTCTGCTTGGGTGGGATTCCCCAGGCTGTGTTGGAGAAGGCTGAGGAACAGGGGCCGGCCCCCCTGCTTCCCACCCCTTGAGGGAGACTGGGGTCACCCTTCTGTGCCCTGCCATCTGGAGACACGGGGGAGCAGCTGTCTCCTGACCCTAGGGGGTGGGCGGGAGGGAGCCCCTGCCCAGGATTAAGGGAATCCCCAGTCAGTGTCCCCAGAGTGGTCTCAGGTGACATTAGCTTGCTTTGTGCCCAAGAGTCTGAGAGACTAGCCGGGGTCTTCAAGAAAGCTGCAGTTTTCCTTTGGCCTCGAAGGCATCTCCGCCTCTCATCCCAGGAAGCAAGGAGAGGCTGGTGGGCGGAGAGTGGCTGGCCACTGCTGGTCCAGAGGTCCTGCTGCACAGCACGGGGAGGTTCCTGGGGTGCCTGGCACCTGAGTCTGGCTGCCTCCTGCGCCAGGCAACGTACAGAAGCCAGCAGCTGCTGGATGGCAGCATGGGATGGGGCCCGAGTCTGGTTCTGACTGGGGATAGCCAGGTCCTCCAGGGTGAGAGGCTCCCCCACCAGCCTGGACCTCCAGCTCCCCAGGCCACCCCAGAATCTGAGGCCTGGCCGTGTGCGCCCATCAAGAGGGGCAAAGGCTTCAGTGGGCCTGAAGTCCCCGCTAGGGGTGCCTGGGGCCGGCAGCCTGGACTGCCTCAGACAGGGAGATGGGCGAGCCAGTGGCTCCTGGGATAGGAGACGACCCCAGGGCAGCTTGTGGGGCCCAAAGCTCCCCCCAGGCTCTGGGCAGAGGTGGGGGCTGCTGGTCTCCCTGCTGCTCAGGTTGCTCTGCTGAATGGCAAACTCATGAGCCTTCCCTTGGCACCTCCGGGCTGGAGGCTGCAGGTTGCTCTGTTGCCAGACGCTTGAATTTACCAGTCGGCCAGTCGTGTCCTTCAGGGCTAGGCCCAGGCGGGGACCAGGGCTGGCCAGGTTGGTCTGGACTCGGCAGGGCTCCTGGTCTAGCACCGCCCCTGGGGAGGGTGTGGCAGCACGCCCTCCCCTCTCCACCTGGCACCCGGGCACCCACTGGTCATGTCTACTGCTCAGGCTGATCCCCAGGCTCCTCCGGAATCTTCGTTGCTCTAAAGAGAGGAGAGACAGTCATGCCTTGGGGGAGGACTTGGGTGGCCGGCACTCAGGTGGGACAGGTGGAGCTGTCCAGGCCTCAGAGCCAGGGAGGGGACGGGGCCCTAGCAGCGGGAGGAAGCTAAGACTTCCGGGGTCTGCTGCCAGCTCTGTCTCCCTAGGTGAAGCGATGGGCAGTCCCTGGGGCTCTTGAAGTGGGGGGTTCTTGGAGCTGGACAGAGGGAAGCAGAGAGATATTTAGGAGGTAGTTGAGGGGGTCCCAGGAGAGAGATGATGGTGGCTGGGATCGGTGGTAGCAGGTGGGTAAAGATAAGATTCAGACAAGCTTCAGAGGTGCAGCCAGCAGGCTTGGCGGAGTCAGGTAAAGGGGAAAAAAGAAAGAATCAAGGGGGACTCCTTGATTTCTGGCTTGAGCAAAGAGGTGGTGGGGGCAGTGGTCTGGGGTGAAAGCAAGACCCCATAGAGCAGTGGGTAAAGGTGAGCTGCTCTGGGAACACGGAGAAGGGCCTTGGAGGCCCTCCCCAGCCCCTAAGCCCACTCCACAGGCAGAGTCCTCATGGGGATGGATGAGGTCCTGGGAGGCTCTGGGCGCGGGGCCTGGCAGGCAGAGTGGGCCATAAAAGTTGCTGCCTTTGTGGATGGGAACTAAAGCTCAGAGAGGTCAAGCAACTTGCCTCATGGTCACACAGCTGGAACACGAAGAAACTGGGATGTGAATTCAAGAATCCACATTTGTTCTTGGGCTGCTCCCCTTCTTGGCTGACCCAGCTGTGTGGCTTCCTTTTTATTTTGAGAGGGAGTCTTGCTCTGTCGCCCAGTACAACCTCCGCCTCCCGGGTTCAAGTGATTCTCCCACCTCAGCCTCCCAAGTAGCTGGGATTACAGGCACCCACCATCATGCCCGGCTAACTTTTGTATTTTTGTAGAGACGGGGTTTCACCATGTTGGCCAGGCTGGTCTTGAACCCTTGACCTCAGGTGATCCACCCGCCTCGGCCTCCCAAAGTTCTGGGATTACAGGCATGAGCCACCACTCCCGGCTCTCTGTGACTTTCTTAAAGCCTCAGCAGCCTGAGCAGGGATGTTCCCAGCCCACCGCCCCTGGTACTGGCTGACCTGTGGGGGCCCCATCTTAGCCAGGGGCACCAACCAGGCCTACTCCTGGTCCCCTCTCTTCCTGACCTTACTTTCCCAAGACCCCTGCTCCTTAGGCCCCAGGCTGGGAAAACTGTTCTATGTGCCGCCGACCATGGTGGCTGATCTGTGGAATTAGCCAGGCCCTATAGGCTGGCCTGCCTGGGAGGGGGGTTCTGGGCCAATACCGAGACGGGCCCTGCTCCTGTAACCTCCCATCCAGGCCCTCTAAGCCTCTTGCCTGGCTTCAGGAGCACTGCAGGCTTTGGGGACACATTCTCCTTGTGGCTGGCATCAGACCTTAGCTCCATGGGCTCAGGGACAGGGGTGTCCTTGGTCCACCCCACAGTGAGTGGCCTGGTCTGTTTAATAAGATGGGCCCTGCGGGGAGAGGACAGGTTGCCCTGGCTCTCATTCAACCCCACCCCATTCTGATCCCTACCCCTTCCCTTTAACAGTACTCCTGGCTGCTCTTGGCCTGGTCCCAGCTGCCTGGGGCTTGCCCCTCACTGTTCTGGTCTCTCAGGGGCTCCTCTCCCTGCCCTACTTATCACCCCTCTTTCCATGGTAAGTGTCCAGGTCAAATGCTGCCCCATCCTGCCCCCTAGACCTCTCGGCTGATCTGCACACAGATCTCACCATGCAGGTCCAGCGACCTCCTCCACGCCTACCCAGATGTCTAACAGGCATCTCGTGAGGTGAGCGGCCCTCATCTGCCACCTCCCAACTGGTCACCCTTATTCTGCCCTCGTCCTCACACCCGACAGCCTCCTCTTCATGCAGTGGCAGGGTGATCCTGTGAACACTGAAATCAGATCATGCCCTGCCTCAACTCTAATGCCACAGAGGCTCTCCAGCCCACTCAATGCCCCTGCGAGCCTTCAAGGCTGTAGGCAAGGGGTTAGCAATTACTGCCTGGGCTAGTGGTCCGTTATGTGAATAAAGTTATATTGGAACAAAGCCCATTTGTTTACAGACTGTCTGCTTTCCAGCTGCAATGGCTCAATAGCTGCAAGATACCTTAGGCTGCAAAAATTTTTTTTTTTTTGAGACAGAGTCTCACTTTGTCGCCCAGACTGGTACAATGGCATGATCCCAGCTCACTGCAACCTCTGCCTGCCTCCCTGGGTTCAAGGGATCCTCCCGCCTCAGCCTCTAAGAAGCTGGAACCACAGGCGCATGCCACCATGCCTAATTTTTGTATTTTTTGGTAGAGATAGGGTTTCGCCATGATGACCCGGCTGATCTCGAACTCTTGACCTCAGCTGATCAGCCCGCCTTGGCCTCCCAAAGTGTTGGGAGTACAGGCGTGAGTCACCACACCCAGCCCCGCAAAGTCTTTAATCCGGCTCCCAGTGACGGTCCTCCCAGAGTCTTCTTCCCCTTGCCCACTGTCCTCCACACACACCAGCCCCCTGGCTGCTCCTCCAAATGGCACACATGCCCTCACTGCAGGGCCTTTGTGCTGCTGTCCCTTCTGCCTTCAAGTCTTGCCTCCCACATCACAGTGAGCCCTCCCAGCCCACTGTCTCTCCAACTGCAGCGACCTGGCCTCTCCTCAGTCTCTTTGCCCTGCACTTGCGGCCACCTAATATAGTGACGACATTAGTGAATTTCTTCCTCCATTGACCTAGGAGCCACACGAGGGCAGGCTGGTCTTGTTTTTGTTTTTGTTTTTTCCCTGCTGGATTTGCAGCCCATAGAACAATGCCTGACCCCCAGCAGGGGCTTGTAAATGTGCATTGAATAAATGACAACCGTCCTAGGCACCGTGCAGCCTTCAGCAGGCGTCCTGCCATTTAATCTGCACCGCAGCCCTGGGACTTAGGTTCCCTGTTTTAGAAACGAGGACGTGAGCTTAGAAGGGCTGCCTGCCCCGCCCAGGGCCTCAGAGGGGCGCCCCAGGGCTGGCGCCACAGCGCAGGCTCTAACCAGGACCACCCCACCATCCCCTCTTGCCCAAGTTGACTTGAGGCCGCTTAATCCACAGGAGACCTTCCTGCACCCCCACCCCTCACGCCGGGCTCTTCTGTCCATTTCTCTGCTCCTCGTCCCCCTCCCTCAGACTCCCCCCTCCCACTCCACCCCCACCCCTGTCCACTTAAGGGGGCTCACAGCCTCCCTCTTCTTCCCACCAAAAGAGCCTGAGGTCAGTTTCCTGTCCTCATGGACCTGCCCTCACGTGCGTGGGTCCTCCTCGGGTCCTCCTTCACCCAGTCGGATTTGAATCTAGAGGGGGCTCGGGCTGGGACCGCTAACGACCCCCGCAGGTCGTGGGCGGGAGAGCAGAGCGTGCTGCCCCGCGCTTGGCCCCGCCCAGCCCTGAGCCGTGGGCGTGGCCACCGACTTCCGGCACAGGTTTTGCTGGGTCCTCCGCAGGCAAGGCACGTGGTCTCAGGGCAACTTTTGCACGTGCAAGATGAGCGACTTTGTCTTGGCCATCAGGTCCCTGGGAACTTCCTCCACCCTCTGCCCTGAATCCTGTGGCAGCATCATTGGGGTCTGGGCTTCCTCCACCAGGCGTGCCTCCTCCTGGCTCCTTCCCACACCTAAGGCTGCCTCCTGGAGCCCCCGCCCCACACCTGGGATACCCCTAGCCATGCCCCCACCACCTGTGCCTCCTAGGCTGCAGGACATGCCCCCGGCTCCCATTGGCAGGAACCCCAGGGGCAGGACATCCAGGTCATGGACACTCGCATCCTCACCCATTCCCAATAGGTGCGATGCCCCGTCCAGGGATCTCAGATATGGCTGGCACACCATGGCCCTCATGGCTGAGGACACCCCCGTGATGGGCCCCCAGGATCTGGGGGGCAGCCCCCACCCTGATCACGACCTGGAATGCCTCATCCTGGACGTCCTTCAATGAGCATGTGCCCCAGGGGGCCTCAGTCTGGATCTCCCATGGGTCACCCAGGTACTATGCCTCCATAGTATGCGTGGACCTCCTCCACTGATGCCGCCTCGTGGATACACTGGCTCTCCCCAACCCCTACCCTATGGCTTCCAGCGGAGGCCTCTCCCTCCACCCAGGCCCACTCCCTAGCCTCCAGTTCCCCCTCAACGCCCACTTCGGGGCCCTCTCCCTCAGTAAATTCACATTCTTCTTCCTCCTGTTATATCTTCCCAATATCTTTTTGATTCCTTGGACCAGAGATGCTGCAGCTCCTTGCAACTAAGGCACTAACCCTTTTCAGCCTTCCCATCTTCATTTTTAATGTCATTTTTTCCCCATAGAAGGTATTTCTTTCTCATGTTGGTCTAAGTATTTTGCAAATGCAGAGGAAAATAAAACTATAACAAATTCCTTGTTTAAAAAAAGAAAGAAAGGAAAGAAGGAAGGAAAAGAAAAAGGGAGGAAGGAAGGAAGAAAAAGAAAGAAAAAGAAAGAAAGAAAGAAAGAAAGAAAGAAAGAAAGAAAGAAAGAAAGAAAAGAAAGAGAAAGAAAAGGCCAGGCACAGTGGCTCACACCTGTAATCCCAGCACTTTGGGAGGCCGAAGTGGACGGATCACAAGGTCAGAAGTTCAAGACCAGCCTGGCCAACGTGGTGAAACCCTGTCTCTACTAAAAATACAAAACTTAGCTGGGCGTGGTGGTGGGCACCTGTAATCCCAGCTACTCGGGAGGCTGAGGCAGGAGAATCGCTTGAACCCAGGAGGCAAGGGTTGCAGTGAGCCGAGATCCTGCCATTGAACTCCAGCCTGAGCAACAGACCAAGACTCCATCTCAAAAAAAAAAAAAAAAGAAAGAAAGAAAAGAAAAGAAAAAAAGAAAAGAAAAGGCTGGATGCGGTGGCTTATGCCTATAATCCCAGCACTTTGGGAGGCCAAGGTGAGTGGATCACTTGAGATCAGGAGTTCTAGACCAGCCTGACCAACATAGCAAAACCCCGTCTATACTAAAAATATAAAAATTAGCTGGGTGGTGGTGGCGTGTGCCTGTAGTCCCAGCTACTGGGGAGGCTGAGGTAGGAGAATCTCTTGAACCCGGCAGGCAGAGGTTGCAGTGAGCCAAGATTGCGCCACTGCACTCCAGCCTGGGTGACAAGAGCAAAACTCCGTCTCAAAAAAAAAAAGGGTCGGGGGCTGGTAACACTTACCTCCCCTACCTCTCTGGCTTGATGTGAGGGTCAGACGTTTAACAAATAAATGCCAAAGGACTTTTTAAACGCTAAAGCAACTCTTGAAGAGGAAGAGGTGATTACTGCTCCCTTCATAGGTCTGTGTGTCTAATCTTTCCTCCTAAACCTGGTGGATGGAAGCTTTTGTTCTTTAGGTTTATTTGTTTGTTTGTTTGTTTTTTGAAAAGAAGTTTCACTCTTGCCACCCAGGCTGGAGTGCAGTGGTACAACCTTGGTTCACTGGAACCTCCGCCTCCTGGATTCAAGAGAGTTTCCTGCCTCAGCCTCTGGAGGAGCTGGGATTACAGGCGTGTGCCACCACATCTAGCTAATTTTTTTGTATTTTTAGTAGAGACAGGTTTCACTATGTTGGCCAGGCTGGTCTTGAACTCCTGACCCCAGGTGATCCACCCACCTCAGCCTCCCAGAGTGCTGGGATTACAGGCGTGAGCCACCACACTCAGCTTGTTCTTTAGGTTTTGACTGTCTTTTATCTCTAGTAATACCTTTTGCCTTAAAGTCAAATTAACTCCACCAGTTCCACTTTGGTCCCTACTTGCCTGCTATAACTTTTTCATCCTTCTACCTTCAGGCTTCCCACGTCCATAATCTTAGGTTTGTTATTTGTAAGCATAATATAGCTGGTATTTAAAAAAATCTAATCTGGCCAGGCGCGGTGGCTCAAGCCTGTAATCCCAGCACTTTGGGAGGCCGAGGCGGGCGGATCACGAGGTCAGGAGATCGAGACCATCCTGGCTAACCCAGTGAAACCCTGTCTCTACTAAAAAATACAAAAAAAAAAAAAAAACTAGCCGGGCGAGGTGGCGGGCACCTGCAGTCCCAGCTGCTCGGGAGGCTGAGGCAGGAGAATGGCGTGAACCCGGGAGACGGAGCTTGCAGTGAGCTGAGATCCGGCCACTGCACTCCAGCCTGGGCGACAGAGCGAGACTCCGTCTCAAAAAAAAAAAAAAAAAATCTGATCTGACAATCCTGTATCTCGAGTTTAATTCACTTACAAATGTATGATTTTGACATATTTATTTTAACCATCTTATTTTTGTGCTTGCTAGTAGCCAAATGTTTCATCTTTCTCCTTTCTTGCAGTTTTAAGAATTGATCAAGGTTTTCTTTTTCTTCAGGTCCTCCCCGGCTCTTCACTGGCTTGGAAACTGCACATTTCATATCTTTTCTTTCTGTGGTTATCCTATACACACACACACACACACACACACACACACACATATTTAGAGACAGCGTCTTGCTCTATCCCCCAGGCTGGAGTGCAGTGGTGCAATCTTGTCTCACCGCAACTTCCACCTCCTGGGTTCAAGCAATTTTCATGCCTCAATCTCCCTAGTAGCTGGGATTACAGGTGCCTGCCACCATGCCCGGCTAATTTTTACACTTTTAGTAGAAATCGGGCTTACCAAGTTGCTCAGGCTGGTCTGGAACTCCTGACCTCAGGTGATCTGCCCACCTCAGTCTCCCAAAGTGCTGGGATTACAGGCATGAGCCACCGCGCCCGGCTTCAAGATATTTTAAAATATATATTTAACAAAATCTAAAGTTGCCAGTATTTAATCTCCTTCTAGGTCAAAATAAAGGGCTTCAGCACACTCTGTTTCTGGTCAGATCGTCCTGAATTACACATTATTGTCTGGGAGACTAAACCATGTTTACTATTTCCTTTGTGCAGCTCAGATCTTCCTTCTGAAAAAAATTCCATGTGCCATCAAAAGATTCTTCAGATGTTTCTATATCAAAGATCTATGGGTGATAAACTCAACTGTCATTTTTCTTAGTATCTTTATTTTACCCTCACCCCTGAAAGATAACTCACTGGTGCATAATTTTAGGTTGACAGTTATTTTTCTCACCACTTTGAATATATCATTCCACTGTCTTCTGACTTCTATTTTGCTGTTTAGACATCAGCTGCCAGTAATTGTCAATCTTTTTGAGACAATATCTTTT